CTGCTGCTGCTGCTGACCATGTGGGCTTGAAACCATTGTGTCTTTCTTCATATCTCACTTCCCTCCGCATCCATCAGGTTGATGCGGCAGGCAAGGGGAAGGGAAAGGAAGAGAAGAAGAGCAAGGGGGAGGAGAAGAAGGGTGAAGCGAAGGAAGGGGCGGGTGCAGGGGGAGGGAAGGGGGCGGACGTGAGTGTGGGCATACTGGACATACGAGTGGGGCAGATCAAGAAAGTGTGGAAACACCCCAATGCAGACGCGTAAGAAACCCTGTTCTAAGTCTTGTTGTCTTAGCTTCTTCCTCCCATCCCTTTTTCTTCAACCTCCGAGGAACCATTGCTGTGAAACTCCTTTGCTGCACCACCGTACCACCACCCTGCACTGCACCCACCTTTCACGCTAGACCAATTTAGCGTCAATCTAATTTTAGAGTCTGCTTCATTGATTTAACTCATTCCCTCTTCTCTCCTCTGTTCTCACCCCCTCCTCTCTCCTCTCCTCTCCTCTCCTCTCCTCTCCTCTCCTCTCCTCTCCTCCCCTCACCTCGTCATTTCCTTGACCTCTTTGTTTGGGACTCCTCAATCGGTCTAGGCATGTGTGAGCAAGCTCTTAGCCACAGTATGCCAAACGTGATCGTCCCAAACGTGTTCCTCGCAAGCGTGTTCTTCCTCCTCTCCTTCCCCTCAGCCTCTGCCAGTCGATTTGTCGTGCCTGGTGGGCAGGGGAAGGGCAGTACATAGAAGGTCAGAAGCGAGTGTTGAAGCGAGTGCATGACAGTGGGATGCGGTCGAGGGCACTGGGATGACTTTTATGCTTTGATGACCCCCCTCACCTCTCCTTTCCTCTTATCTTGCCTCCTCTTCTCCCCTTCCTATTCCCCTGCAGGCTGTATGTGGAGGAGATAGACGTGGGCGAGGGCAGTGTGCGGCAGGTGGTGAGCGGGCTGGCCAAGTTTGTCACAGAGGACGAGATGATGGTGAGAGGGGAGAGGTGATGGTGGTGAGAAGCTTGGAGTGAAGGTGTGGGTGAAAGCAAATCAAGTGAGCTGGTCAGGCAATGTGAGCAGGTGGTGAGCCGGCTGGCCAAGTTCGTCTCAGAGGACGAGATGATGGTGGGCGTGGCGTGGAGGTGAGAGATGTTTTGCATGCGAGTTGATGCTGAGAAGGCTGGTTTCTTGAGGTGGCTCAAAATGCTGTGCGGCTGCTCTCGCAGTGTGCGTGCGGCAGGTGGTCAGTGGGCTGGCAAAGTTTGTCACAGAAGATGAGATGATGGTGAGAGGGGAAGAGGGAGGGATGGAGGTGATGGTGAGAAGGTTGGTGTTGTCATTTCACAATATGATGGTAATTTGTGAAGGGGTGGGGGAGAGGGGTGTTTTTGGTTTGGAAGAGAGGTGATGAGAAGGTTTGATTTCATGAGGCGGCTCAAGGTTGAACTTGCACGTGGAGAATGATTTGGTAGGTGACCCGCGGCTCCTCTGTTGTCCCCCACGTGCCTATGAGGGGCGTGTAGGTGGTGCGGAAAGCAGATAGGGTGAGGGCAGGGAGTGTAAGGCACAGACCCACAGCCCTTCCTGTCCCCCCATGTGTGCGTGCTGTGCCTGTGTGCAGGGCATGCGGGTGGTGGTGCTTACAAACGTGAAGCCGGGGAAAGTGAGGGACGTCGTATCGGCCGGCCTGGTGCGTACGTGTGGTCTGTCTGGCTTTGTGAGGTGCCTCAAGAGGCATGGTGCATATGTGTGGTCTGTCTGTCCTTTCCGTTCCTAAGAAACGTGGTAACTTGTTGCGAAGTAGGTGTGGCATATGCATCTGCGGTAGGGTGTCATTCATATCCCTGCTGTGCAGCTGGTCTGGCTGTCCTCCTTTCTGCGTGGTCAGCACAGCACCAGCCGCCATCTCACGGCCACCTGACCTCCACACACCTCTCCCCATCCTCCCACACCCACCCTGCGCCTGTCCGACCTTCCCCCTTCCATCTGCTCTCACCTCACGTGCCCGTTCCTCGCAGGTGCTGTGTGCGTCCAACGAGGACCACATGGTGTGCCGCCCCGTGCAACCTCCCGAGGGGGCTGCCATTGGAGAGAAAATCACTTTTGCAGGGTAGGCGGGTCATGGGTGGCTCATGGGGGATGACGGGGGGAGGTGCGTTAATAGAGAATGTGAGAGGAGGGAGGGAGGGAGGGAAGGGGAAAGGCTCAGAAACAGTTGGGAGGATTTTAATCACAAGTGAGAGTTTGAGGAGAGCAGGAAGGCTGTTTGATGCAAAATTGCCTCCTTATCGCTCTCTGTCCCTCCCTTCCACTCTCCCACTACTCCTAACAGCCTTGTATCTCCTTCTCTTCCTACTCCTGCAGCCCTGCTCACCCACTCCTCCCTCATTGCTCCTCTCCCTGCCCCGTCTCCCGACCAGCAGCATTCGCTGCGTCAGAGGATCTAATGCAGGTCTGCAGAGATGGCCTCTGTTCCGCAACTCACCCATCCCTTCCTCTCTTCAGCCTTCCCAGCACCCGCCCATCTTCATATCCCACCTGCAAATGCCTTCCTTCCACCTGTCCATGCCCTCACCCCACCTGTCCATGCCCTCACCCCGCCCGTCCATGCCCTCACCCCACCCGTCCATGCCCTCACCCCGCCCGTCCATGCCCTCACCCCGCCCGTCCATGCCCCCACCCCACCCGTCCATGCCCTCACCCCGCCCGTCCATGCCCTCACCCCGTCCGTCCATGCCCCCACCCCGCCCGTCCATGCCCTCACCCCGCCCGTCCATGCCCTCACCCCGCCCGTCCATGCCCTCACCCCGCCCGTCCATGGCCCCACCCCGCCCGTCCATGCCCTCACCTCACCCCGCCCGTCCATGCCCTCACCCCGCCCGTCCATGCCCTCACCCCACCCGTCCATGCCCATCACACAGAGTGGACGGCAAGCCAGATGAGGTGCTCAACCCCAAGAAGAAGCTCTTTGAGAAGCTGCAGCCGGTACGTGCCTTGCTACTACAGCCGGTACGTGCCTTGCTACTACAGCCGGTACGTGCCTTGCTACTACAGCCGGTACGTGCCTTGCTACTACAGCCGTTGCAGGCCTTTGTCTCCCTGCCCCGCGCCTTCTCTTCTCGTGTCCCCTTGTTTGCATGTCGTTGCGCCCTCCTAACTCTCCATACGCACTTTCCAGTGTCCCCACTGGGTCACATTCCCCCCTCAGCCCTTCCTTCCCCCCCCTGATCTCCCCTTGGCCCTCCATCCCCTCCCCTGCATCTCAGGAGTTTCTGTGCACGAACAATATGGAGTTGTTCAGGTTCCAAGACATGCCCACGATTATGACATATTGTCTCCCCTTTTCCCTCACTCCTCATGCACCTCTTCCCTTCTCTTACCCTGCGTGTGTGCCCCTCCAGGTTCTGCGCATGTGGGTGGCCATGTTCCAGGACATGCCTATGATGATAATCTTTGTTCCCCCATTCTTTGCTTCCCCTCCTGTGCACCCCTTCCCCCTCCTGTGCACCCCTTCCCCCTCCTGTGCACCCCTTCCCCCTCCCGTGCACCACGTCAGTTTCTGCGCACAGACGGCACGGGGGTGGCCATGTTCCAGGACACGCCCATGATGACGTCAGCAGGGCCCTGCACATCTACCGTTGTGAACGCCAGTGTCAAGTAGGCGGCACAAAATCTGGGACTCATGCTCCTCCTGTGCCTTTGTATTGAGCTCATGTCGGAATTTTATTCTCGAAACGCCCAGAAATAATCTGGATCTGGGCATGGGCATGCACGGTTGTGAATGTGAGTGTCAAGCAGTTGGCAAGAAACCCCAACATCTTGAGTGCATTCGGCACTTAGTCCATTTCTAACTTCAGAGAGGACAGGATCTTCATCAGAAGTACTAGTTGGGTTGTTCAAGACAAAATCTTGCGCCCAGGCTATGCTGCTCGGAGGTACAGTACCGTGGGAGTGTTTCATCCATGGCTACGATAGGAGAAATAGGGAGAACGTCCCATACTCCGCCAACCTAGTACCGTATTACAATACCATCGCTTGGTGTGATGTCAGGTTGAATAATGTCAGGTACCTCTGGTGTAGGGTTACGTAACCGTAGTAGGATATCAGGTTGAATAAAACTGGATGTACGTGTATGCCTCACGAGGTTACCCGTCCGTAAACAATATCTTCAAGCGAAACGATCTTGTTGCGGGTACTGCTGCTCCGCTGCACCCGTAGACGACCAGAAGCACCTGCGGCCAGCACATCTGCCGCTGTTTGCTGCTCCCGTGGGGAAGGCTGCTGCGCGGAACACCGCGGGGGCAGAGGCGCGCGCTGATACCGCCTACTTGCGGAGGACGTTGTCGCGTTGTGCCGTTAACGTAAACGGAAGTTCGGCAATGCTGCACAGCTTTTCAACCTGTAAAATGCGTTCTATGAATGCGCTAGTTTTGGTGAGCAAGAGAAAGTGTGAGCTTGATCAATGGCAATTTGATGACGATTAGGCGGACTGCCCCCCCTATATGCTCTGGCCGAAGCGACAAGGCGCGGACCGCAATTCAAATTCGTGCGACTCGGCCGTGGGTTAGCTTGAAGCGGGCAACCATTGGCTAGCGTGTTGCGCTTGAAAAATCCAACGGTGTGGAACGAACCTTCTAGAAAGTTCGATAGGCGCTAGTCGTTGCTTCCGCCTGCCTTCCTTTGCTCTCCTTCGCATGTTCCGGCAGGCCTCGTGGAAGGCGGGCTACCTCGATTTGGTGGTCTCGCTTCCGCATAAGAAGCTGTCTCCTAGAATTATAACACTTGAAAATAATCGAGGTAGCCCGCCTCGGCTTTGGAAATTTGGCTTCACACAAGAGGAGGCCGATACTGTACACAATGAATAAATGTTAAGAAGATAGTAATGCACTTTTAAATACGCTCAATTGATCAGTTATGTACGGTTCTACAATTCCGTACATGTCCAATTTGTTAATCAATCTCATGAAAGCCCAACTGTGCCCATGTCTTGCATGTTCTTATCCAAGAGCCTCAAGTCAAATAGGTGGCGCATGGTTGGTCGACCATGGGGACAATTCCAAGGCGATTGCAACGTTGAGAGCTGGCAGAGGATCTGCAACACCATGCATACGAGGTAGAAAAAATAAGTCGATATTGACACTGATGTGTTCTAATCATGAAGCTCTCTTCCAACTTGCAGAGAAGAGTGCCGTTAACAGGAGAACGAATGAAAGAAGGAATGATAGAAAGAAAGATGGAAAGAAAGAAAGAAAGAAAGAAAACAAAGAGAGAACAAAGCAATGAATTATCATACCTTGCTCATCTGCACCTGGCTGAGTGCCGTGCCGATCATCACAGAGCTCCTGCACGCTCTTGAAGCCAGCATGGACTGCACCCGTGATGGCCGCACCGCTACAACTGTTGATGACACAGCCGCTATAGCCGTTGATGGAGATGCTGATGGTGCTGATGCTCGTGCTGATACAACCATACATCGAGACTCCTGATCTTCAGACCTTGCTGGTGCACCTCCGGACCTCTCGCTGCGCAGTGAACTTGTTGAGCTTGCACGCAGAGAAGCTTCTTGGTGGTTTCCAGAACTCGTTATGCCGCTCGTTGCATCTTTTGCAGCAGCAGTTGCATGGAAACGGAGAGTGTCAGTGACAGTGGCAGAGTGAGCAGCAGATTCCGTTTCGGGAAGAGGCGCATCCGCCAGCATTGAGATGAGCTCACACACATCTGGATGTGGAGGGGAGGGAAAGATATTTTGGCATGTTTTAATCGTACACGATCATGCTGATAGGGGCAAAGTTCATGACAGTAAAACATGGCAGATCTGCCGTATCGAAGTGCGCTGGCAGGTGTGGAATGCTTGTGCAAATGGAGAGTACTGGTGTGAGGTTGACAGTGGGGTATGCAGCACTGGTCTGGATCATGTTGAACATCTTCTGAGAAATATTGAGTAGCAACATGTGAACTCATCATGGGCCGAACTCACCAAAAGCACCAAAGACAATGTTCTTAGAGAAAGGGACGGCAGAGAGGCGGAACCGACGGCCGGATGGAGCACTCTCATCCACGGAGAAATGAAAGCCGTTGGATCTGATGGAACGGGTTAATTAAGGTAAGAGTTTGGCAAAGTAGGCAGTGGAGAGGAAGGGAGACAATCCCGAAGGGCCGATGGAAGCAAAAGGGAAGGGGAGGGCGTAAAGGTGTTTATACAGAGATGCCTCGAAAACCAATGTATTAACAAGGGAAGCGCAAGAGGGAGGGATGCCTGATCACGGGACATGAAAGGCCAGAGTAGTTGGTCAAGCAAGCGAGAGGCGATGACAGAAACGGAGTGCAGAAGGAGGTGGGACAAGAGAGGCACAACGAAGAGGCAAAGGAGAAAGCGGAAGTCAGAGTGGAAAATACTAGTGTGTGGCTCTACATGTGTATGCGCTACACTTAGTGGCCAGGTGTGATACATGGTGTGATGGCAGCACAGCATTTGGTCAGAGTGTGTTAAATTCGTTTGATCAGTGATGTGACAGCATCACACACAATACTAGCGAGTGCACCTGAACGTTGGCATGTGTGCACCTGAACGTTGGCATGTGTGCACCTGAACGTTGGCATGTGTGCACCTGAACGTTGGCATGTGTGCCGATACAATCACTTCCTCGGCTGGCGACAGATCCAGCCGTTGAGGTCTGCATGGAGAATCCAGAGAAGGAACATGGTTGCTGAGGGCAAGCACAGATAGCAGAAAACATTATGAAAGATCGCGAAGCGGGACGCGAGGGACACACCCACCTGGCCCAACGATAGAAAAGCGCGCTCACATAGCAGCACTCTCACTCGCACCACTCACACTCGCAGCACTCACACTCGCAGCACTCACACTTGCACCACTCACACTCGCAGCACTCACACTCGCAGCACTCACACTCGCACCACTCACACTCGCACCACTCACACTCGCACCACTCTTCTCCCTCTAGCACAAGCACGGGTGCTCGTTGAGCACCGTGGATCGCACACTAGTCACACGAAAACCACATAATATAAAGACACGAGAACACCACCCCTTGCAGTAGCAGCACTCACACTCACTCTCCCAACTCACACTCACGCTCTCACCACTCACACTCACACTCGCACTCACATGAGCAGCGGCTGCCTGTTGAGCACTGTGGATTGCATGAGGCGCTCAAAGTTAAACTTCTCGTCCGACGCATGCTAATGAGCCATTGGGGAGGTGAGGGGGAGACGATGAGACATGAGGGGAGAGGTAGAGATGGGATGAGACGGGCCGAGGAAGAGATCGGAGGAGATTGGGATGGACAAAATGGGGAGAGGAAGAGAAGGGATCGCATGAGGCGCTCAAAGTAACTTCTAGTCCCATGCATGCTGATGTACCATAGGGGTAGGAGGGGGATATGGGATGAGATGGGATGCGATGGCAAAAAAGGGGAAGGGATGAGATGTGTAGAAGAAAACAGATGGGATGAGAGAGATTGTCGTGTGAACGTGTGCCAAAGAGAATAAGGAGGAAAACAAACACAAGCTGCATTTCATACCAGGAGGGTAGGTATACATGAAGGCTGACACCGTGCTGTAATTCAATCTGTGATTCATTACAAAATGCCTGCTGCACCTGGTCCACAATGAAGAGATCAGATCCCAGCCGTCCAATGATGAACCCAAGGTTGAACTGGCCAATCACAGCCATGCTAGAAAAGTCGCGCTTGTCAAACCGCCGCTCCAGCTCCCTCGCTGCCGCCTCCAGCGCCGCCTCCTTGCCCTCCCCCTCGCCATGCGGAATCTTCATTCCACCACTGCTGTGGGCAGCATTACTCACACCATCAGCCACCGATGCTGCTGCAAAGCTCCTCTGCCTCTCGCCACAGCCGCACCCTCCCACTCCCTTTCGCCCCTCCCTCTCCTCCCTCGCCTCCCTCGCCCGCATCTCAGCTCGCCGCCGCCACACCTGCTGCACGCGCCGCATGTCAAACTGCACCTGCACGCTGCCCTCTCCGCGCCTCACCTCCCATCCTGCGCCTGACCATGCCACTAGCGTCGGACCCAATGCAGCCCCCTCTTTTGTCTCCACTCCCTCTACCCTAGCCCCTCCAATTCCCTCTTCTTCCTCGCCCCCTTCCAACTCCCCTGTGTGCCCGCCACAACATCTCCCCTTCCCTGCCCCCTCTGCAACCGCCGCTGCAAAACCCTCCTGCTGCCCGGCCAACTGGGTGCCGGGCAGCAGCTGTGAGCCCACCAGTTCGGGCAGGTCAGCTTGGGTCATCTCTTGAGTCATCAGGGGCAGATCCAAAACATTTTTCCCTGCCCACTCATCCCGGGTTGCCTCCTGCAAGCCACCATCAACCGCACATAGGACACCACAATTGCTCTCTTCATCATTCCTTTCTGCTCCTTTCCATTCCCTTGCACTCCTTTGCACTTGAATTTCCCCTGCCTCCCCATCTTCCTGCTCCACTTCCCTTACCTCATCACAATCCCCATCCTCCTCTGTCTCGTCATCCTCCCTCTCATCCTCCTTCCCATTCTCCTCCCTCTCATCCTCCTCTATCGCCACTACTTTCCCCTCCAACTCCTTCCCACCCTCTTCCAACCAACCATCCCCAGCTCTCCCCCTCACACGTCCCCCCCCATCCACTCCGCCAATCTTGCCTCCCCCGCTTCCCCTTCCCTTTTGTCCGCCCCCAACCCCCTTCCCCAGCCAAGCATCAAGCCCCGCCTGTCTCCCATCCGCACCTCCCCCCACCCTTCCTCTCCCCGCCCTCTGCCTGCCCATCCCCTGCGCCTGAGTAGCAACTCCCCCCATGGAATGCTGCCCCCCTCCCCTCACTGCCCTGCTGTTGCCATCCCTTCTGCCCACATTTCCTCCCTCACTCTCCCTCTCCTCTTCCTCCTCTTCTTTCTCTGGATCTTCCGCTTCGTATTCCTCTTCCGCTTCCTCTTCCTCTTCCGCTTCCTCTTCCTCTTCCGCTTCCGCTTCCTCTCCCTCTTGCTCCTCTTGCTGCGCCCTCTGTCGGTCTCTCTGCCGCTCAGCAGCTGCCCTGTGTCGAGTCTCACACCCCTGCCATGCACGTGCCTGCTCCGCGCCACTCACTGCCCCGCGAGACAACAAAATCCGGTCTGCTGTGCCGCCAACACACGTCACATCCCCACCCCTGTCCTCACTCGTACCCACACGCACACCCCCACCCACACCCAAACCCAAACCCAAGCCCTTGCCCTTGGCCTTGCCTTTGCCCTGGGGACTCATGAGCAGCAGTCGCCGCATGGCTGCTGCCTTGCTCTCACTCCACTGCAGAGTGCCCACACCCCCACGTGCTGCTCCTCCTGCTGCTGCCATGCGGCCTTCTCCTCGTCCTCCGATGGCTTCTCCTTTTCTTCTTCCCTCCCCTCGTACTGCCCCCCCTTGTGCCGCTTCCTCCAATGCTCCCCCTGGCGTTGCGTTTCCCCCTACCTCCCCGCGCTCAAACTGATGCGGAGGTTCCCCTCTGTCCCCCGCCCCTTCCTGCTCCTCTCCGCCTTCCTCCTCCTCCTCCTCCATCCGCCCATCCCTATCCATGTCGCCATTCAACTCATCTCCCCCGCCCCCCCTCCCATCAGCATCCGCATCTACTATCTCACCACGCCCTCTTGCACCAACAGCACCACCACCATCACTATCATTACTCACCCTCACTCGCTTCCTCCTTCCCTCCCCCTCTTCCTCTCCCTCCCCACCACCTTCCCCCTCACCCTCACCATCCCCTACCCCTCTTCCCACACCCCTTCTCCCCCCTCCCTTCTCCCCAACCTTCCTCCTAACCCGTTCCTCAATCTCCTTCCCCACCGAACCAGCCGGCGCGGCTCGGTAGACATACCTATCCGGAGAGTAAAAATCCGACAAAGCCGCTCTCAGCCCCGACAGCAGCGCGGCCTCGGAGTGCAGAAACACCTTGCGCTTATCGGGGGTCACGTTTACGTCGTACGCGTCCGCGCTAAGCGAAACGTTTAAGAAAGCGGCGGGGAACTGCAGGGAGTTGAAGGAGCGGTAGAGCTCGTTGAGCAGCTTGGAGAGGCGCGGCAGATCCACCGGGCGGCCGTTGAGGAAGAAGAACTGCCGATCGCCCGATGACCTCCCACTGCCCGCTCCTGGCCTTGACAGGAACCCGGTTACTCTGCAGCAGGAGGCTGGTAGCGGCGCAGGGGCAGTGGCAGCTGTGCCATTAGCAGCAGGAGGAGTAGCAGCAGCAGTAGCAGGAGGAGCAGCAGTGGCGGCGGCAGCAGCGGAGAGAGGGAAGGTGATGTCGACTGGGTCCAGGCCCGCAGCGGCCTTGGCGCCAAACACAGCAATGATGTTCTCCCGCATCGACCCCGTGCCAGCTGTCTGCACCACAGTGGTGCGCGCGCTGCTGCGCCCACTCTGATTGGTGCAGAGGATGCGCGCGCCTGTGGACACCACGCAGTACGCCTGCAAGACGCTCACCAGCTTCGCAAACTCGCGCCGCACGTTCCGCTCAAACTCCCGCCGCCGCACGGGCAGCGGCGAGAAAATCTTCGCCACGCTGACCGTCGTTCCAACTGCCCGGGCGACCTGTTCCCGAGGGGCGTCTAGGAGCTTTCCCGCATGGTCGAACGCCAGGCGCGTTGCTATTGGCTCGTTGGTGGTGCGGGTGGTGATGGTGACGTGGGCGAGGGCGCAGAGGGAGGAAAGGGCCTCCCCTCTGAAGCCGAAGGAGGACAGCGACTGGAGGTCGGCAAAATGAGCGATCTTGGACGTGTGGTACTTGAGGGTCAGTGCCTGCCGTGGTGCAGAGGGCGGAGCGTTCGGGGTAGGGCAGGACGATGGGATGGAGAAAACGTTGAAGAGTCGACACAAAAGCAACTAGAAATGGTGGTAGGAGAAAGCAGCGATCTTGGATGTGTGGTAGTTGAGGGTCAGTGCCTGCAGCAGCGTTGAGAGAGAGGGGATTCGGGAATTGGTAGAAGGGGGGGGTGAGCGGGGGTCGGGAGGCAGTGAGCGGAGGGCAAGAGGAGAGGAGGGAGGTTGGAGAGGAGGAATGGGGGGGAGGGGTATGGGGATAGAGGAAGGAGGGGAGTGCGATTAGAAGAGGGGTAGAGGGAGTTGGAAGGTTGAAGACGCTTGCAGGTCAGAGGCACCACCCTGTGAGGCCAAACGAGTACCCGGCGGTGCCCACCTGCTCTCCACCTGCGCTCAGTGCAGTGCCCACGAATCAGACCACCGAGTGCCAGTGCCCATGTGCCTTCCAAGTGCTCCGGTATACCCCCCCCCCCCCCTCCCTCCCCCCTCCACTAGCCATTTCCCATCTAACTCCGCCCACTCCTACCATTTCCATGTCAATCCCCAACTCCCTCACACAAACAGCTCACCTCCTTTACCCTTTGAATGCCCTCCTTTTGACCTCAAAGACACCCCTTTGCAATCACTATCCAAGTGCCCACCTACCGGCTGTTACCTGTCACTCCACACCCGCCAGCCAACACACGCTCACGCACCAGCAAATCTATTCCACCCACACGGCCTCCCCACGCACCCCACCACCCGGCCCCCTGCTGGGTTTTTGGCGCTCTTAACGGCCATAGAGCGCCCTCAACGCCTCCTGACCGCCGTCAAAGCCCCTAGCACACCCTTACGCGCCCATAAACGCCCCTTAACGTCACCTGCCAGTTGTGGAGCGCGATCCCACAGCCACTGTGCGCCACCTCCATGAGACCCGCGCCCCACTTCACCTGCACCTCCACACTCCGCCCCCCTCGTCCAGCTTGCCCATTGGCCGCCCTCAACGCCCCTTGACCGCCCCTAGAGCCCGCTCAACGCTCCGTAAGCAGCCCAGGCATCACCTGCCAGTTGGGAGGGGCGATGCCACAGCCGTTGTCCGCCACCTCGATGAGCTCCGCGCCCCATTCTCTCAGCACACCTCCATAACCCTGACCGCTCTCAATGCCCATGCACCATCCTCAATGCTCCTTGGGTGGCCCCTGTATCACCTGCCAGTTGGGAGGTGCGACGCCACAGCCGTTGTCCGCCACCTCGATGAGCTCCGCGCCAAAGTCCTTAAGGCGCACCTCCACGCTCGTCGCCCCCGCGTCCAGGCTGTTCTCCACCAGCTCCTTCACCGCCCCCGCCACGTCCAACACCACCTGCGGGGCAGGGTGCAAGGGAAAGGGGACGGAGGGGGGAAGGAGGCGTTTATCAATTGCACCTGCCAGGCATAAGGGGGGACGGAGGGACGAAGGAGGCGAGGGTTGGGTAGTGAGAAGCTGGCCCCCAGGCTGTTCTCCACCAGCTCCTTCACCGCCCCCGCCACGTCCAACACCACCTGTGTAGGAAGGTTGACAAGGAAGAGAGAGGAGGGAGGAGGGGTGTTTGGGTGGTGAGAAGCAAGTAGGTGCCCCACTGGGCGCGTCCAGGCTGTTCTCCACCAGCTCCTTCACCACGCCCGCCACGTCCAACACCACCTGCGGGGGGGAAGGGTTGCAAGAGCAGAGAGAGGAGGAAGGGGGAAAGGGTTACTTGGAGGCAGGAAGTAGCAGGTGCTTTACCGCGTCCAGGCTGTTCTACACTACACCAGCTCCTTCACCGCGCCTGCCACGTCCAACACCACCTGCGCGGGGATTGGGGGGGAGGGGAGGGGGTGAGGGAAATTTGGGTGGGGGAAAGCAGGCTGCTATCCACTAGCTCCTTCACCGCCGCTGCCACGTCCAACACCACCTGCGTGACAAGGCAACGGCGGAGGGCGGAAGGGTGGAGGAGCAGGAGGCAGCGAAAAGGTTATCGAAACGGGTGCTCTCCTAGAGCTCCTTCCGCGCTGTTTCCAGGCCCAGAAGCACCTAAATCACACGAGGACGAGGTGTGAACTAGCGGGGCGAGAAAGAATATGTTTTTGAGTCGGCTCAACTGCAACGGGGTTCATACTACTGTTCAGTAAACTCTAAACACGTGTCAGGGCTGCGCTCTGCGGCGTGGCGTGCGGTGCTCCGCGCGCCAAATTTATGCTCGGCAAAGACGGGCGGCGAGCGGGAGACGATACGGGAGGTTGCGGGTGGAGAGGAGCTCTGGGGGAGTGCGACAGACTGCGCGCCGCAGACGACGTCGTGCAGGAAACTGCGCTATTGCAATGAAAGCATGAGAGTATTTTCAACGCTTGAGAAATTCAGGCTCACCTGTCCCGAGCATATGTGGTGAATGGCGGCCTTATCAATTGCTCGGATCATGGTTCCCCTGCCGCTGGCGTTATCGCTACCATCGGCGACATTATCGTTTGTATTTGCTGGCATACAGTGAGCAGGCATGATAAAATAGATGGTGACGAATTAGTAGTATCTTAGGAAGGACGGCCAGAATGGGGAAACATGAGTGTGCTAACTCCGGAGTCCAAGGAAATGGCGACTTCCATCTCGCACGTTCCACAAATAACTAAGGGCGGGTCAGGTAGCGTTCGTTTTCAGAAAAAAATACAAGTCAGTACCCGCTTTTTGCTTGTAACCGAACTTTTTATGCCTTTTTTTAGGTGGGACACCAAACGATCCGAGTTTCTGTTCATTTCCGATACATCTTGTTTGTTCCCGAAACACGTCTTTAGGTACACCGCAAATACATATGCTAGATCGAAACTGGTCAAGCACATCCGTAAGTAACAAACGGAAATTCGCCCGCACTTGTCGCAAAGCACCTCGTTGTTTTCGCGACCGGTAAAGGTGACGGGTGGGCTGCTCGCGCAACAGTTTTGTGAGAGTGTGGTTACCTCGCTAGCAAAAGTACTGTGGTTGTGCGAGAACTGGTTTGTGTCAGTCTGTGGGGGGTATTTTCGCCAGCTTGACAGGCACTGTATTCTGTACGGCTCCAGCTACTGTCATGCGAACTGATTTGGAAATCGCCGAATTTACGGAATTTTTGAAAATGAACGCTACCTGACCCGCCCTAGAATTTGTTTGCAACTCAGCTTCAGTCTCACGACAGGGAGTTTCAATTGTATTGTACAGCTCGAATTCAAATTTGGAAACCTGTACGCGTTTGTGAGGTCTGCAAGGAAACCCCCTACAAAGTACTATTCGCTATTTCGTACAATCCTCACTTTGCTCCTCCAAATGCACTCGTGCTTGTTGTTGGTAGGTTGTATCTCGTAACATGGCGAACTTTCGCCCATGCTCTCGTCATTCTCGCGACGAGCCAACTGTTGAAGTTCTGGATGCTTCCATTCCATTGTTCAGCTCAGGTTTCTTGTGAAGGTTATCCATAGGAGCAGGCACAAAGTCGTCAGCCATCGGGTTTACCTCTTTGCTAAAATGTTCAAGTACCACCCTTCTTGTTCTAGATACTAGTACCAGCCTCTCGTCCCTGCGTTGTTTCCCTAACCAGGGCACGGGTGCGACGGGTTTCGTGCAGCCATGGCGGAACATCTGGCGTCCATCTTCGGCACGGAGAAGGACAGGGTGAACTGTCCCTTCTACTTCAAGATCGGCGCGTGCCGCCACGGCGATCGCTGCTCGCGTCTTCACAACAGGTGCTGTATGACACCTTTGCCACTACTCGGCCACTCCCCGCGCACCCCCCGTTCACTTCGTTATAACCTATATCTGTCTCGCCGTGCTATTGTCATTCTTATCGCACCGTCATTTCTGCTCTGTGTTTTTTTCTCTTGTCATTGTCGCTGCCAGGCCGACCATCAGTCCGACTCTGCTCCTGGCCAACATGTACCAGCGGCCCGACATGGCGACGCCAGGCGGCGAGCCGGACAAGACGATGGATCCGAAGAAGATTCAGGAGCACTACGAGGACTTTTACGAGGATCTGTTCGAGGAGCTCAGCAAGTACGGCGAGATCAACAGCCTCAACATCTGCGACAACCTCGCCGACCACATGGTCACCTCGCCAACCCTCTCGCTGCCTGCTGTCCTCATTGTTTTTTTAGTTGTTTGTTCGTTTGTTTGTTTGTTTGTTTGTTTTTTATTTTGTTTTTTTAACACGACGCCCTGCGGATCGCTCCGTCGTGCGTAGAGATTGCGTGCGTTTGGCTGACCTGGCGTGTGGTGCGCGTGCAGGTGGGCAACGTGTACGTCAACTTCCGCGAGGAGGAGCAGGCTGCGACGGCTCTCAGAGCGCTCACCGGCCGATTCTATGCAGGTTGGTTTCTCGTCCGTGCTTGCTTCATCCCGCTCCTCCTTCCTGGCCTTTTTGCGCGTCCACATTAGCCGCTCACACGTGCAAATGCTGCACCTTGTGCCGTCGGCGTCCACCCTCCTCGTCACCATCTGCCGCACCATCCGCCTCACAATCCGCCGTACTACCCGTCTCACCATCCTTCTTACCTTCCGTCTTACCATCCGCTTCGTTCATTTGGGCTATCAGGGCGGCCCATTCTGGTGGACTTCTCGCCCGTCACCGACTTCCGCGAGGCCACGTGTCGCCAGTACGAGGAGAACACGTGCAACCGCGGCGGCTACTGCAACTTCATGCATTTGAAAAAGATCAGCAGGTGCTCTCCACATTCCACGCCGCTTTCTTCTCGTTTCCGTCACTTTGAAGCTTCTGCGTTCGCTACGTCGCTCGAGCACAAGAGCTGTTTCTGCTCACCTGCATGCGCCACTGTCGTCTCAGTGCACACGGCGATACTTGCAACACCTTGTTTACCCTTTGTACACATTCTTTCTATCTTCCAGGGAGCTTCGACGGAAGCTATTCGGAGACAGGAGGAGGAGCCGCAGTCGCAGCCCCCCTCGCGGCGGCGGCGGCCGCTACGACCGTTACGACGACCGTCGCGGCGGCGGTTACGGCCGCGGGGGCGGGTACGGCGGCGGAGGGCGGGGCCGCGACCGCTACGACGACCGCCGCTACGACGGCCGGCGTCGCGGGCGGCGGTCGCGCAGCCGCAGCAGAAGCCCCGTGCGCGAGGGCAGCGCGGAACGGCGCGCGAAGATCGAACAGTGGAACCGCGCGCGGGAGGAGCGCGACAGGCCTCCTGCTGGGGGAGGGGGAGGCGGAGGGTACGAGGGAGGGGATCGCGGGGGTGGCGCAGACAGGGGTGGGTACCAGGGCGGAGGCGGGGGAGGGTACGATGGATACAATGGCGGGTATGGGGGAGGCGGCGGGGGTGGTGGCGGGGGCAGGGGAGGTTACGATGCGTATGGTGCTGGCGCTGGTGGTGGTGGTGGTTACCAGGACGGAGCTCCGCCGCGCGACTATGGTCCGCCAGTTGACGCGCGGGGGGGCTATGGGCCTCCTCAAGGGGACTACAGGGGCGCGCCAGGGGGGTACGGGGGTTACCAGGATGGCAGGGACGGAGGATACGGCGCTGGTGGTGGCGGTGGTGCACCTCCTGTGCTGCCGCCGCAGCAGCAGCAGCATGATCGGCGGGAGTATGATGGGTATGGAGCAGGAGGTGGAGGGGACAGGCGCGACTACCCTCCGCAGCAGTACTAAGCCCCTGGTGCACTGCACTGGAACCCTGCTGAGGGTGTGTGCTGTGGCCTATTGTTGTGCTGGTTTGGGCGTTTCCGTAGCTGCAGGGCAGCAGCGCCTCGGCTCTGAAGTCAGCTTCCAAGGGTCTCATCTGCAGAGCACGTGGGCGCAGCACCTCATTCTCTCGTCGTGACGTCATCTGTCTCTGTGGCCGTTCCACAGGCATGCTGCATTCCCAAGACCAAGCGCCCACATGTGGACATGTGGACAAGCAGGGGCTTCAAATGCTGCGTGCTGCTTTGGTGCTTTCTCTAGACCCCTCATCTCTTGCCCTTGTGCAGGGTGGCAACATGGCAGGCTGTGTTGAGGTCTTCTGTGTTCATGTGGTGCATTATGCATACTCTTGCATGTGCTTTTTGGGATGCAGGGCTTTTGTTTTGCAGGATTGCAGGATAGCAAGACAGGATATGTGTTCGCTTTTGTTTCGTTCAGGCTGAGTTTTGTTCTGCTTGTGTGCAGCATGCAGGGTCAGGGAACAGGGGTAGCAGGTCATGCCTCAATAACAGGGGCAGGTTACAGGGATTCAGGGGGAGTCGGGAATAAGGACGAAGGGCTGGAACATGATAAGAGGTTCAGGAATGTGAAGGACACAGGAACAGGTCCGGGAATGTGAAGGACACAGGAACAGGTTCGGGAATGTGAAGAACACAGGAACAGGTTTGGGAATGTGAAGGACACAGGAACAGGTTCGGGAATGTGAAGAACACAGGAACAGGTTTAGGAATGGGAGAGACATAGGAACAGGTTCAGGAATGTGAAAGACTCAGGAACAGGTTTAGGAATGTGAAAGACACAGGTACAGGAGGGAAGCTTGAAGAGTGCAATAATAGGTTCAGGATTAGGAAGGAGGCAAGACTGGGTTTCGGGTCAAGGAAGGAGGGGCAGGTTTGGGAATAATATATTGTAAGATAACAAGAACAGGTTTCCTAAGCTGTACAGCTCCTTGAGCGTGAAAAGAAAAGCAGCTCAAGGAGAGACAGCTAATGCTGCATAGCATAAGCGATTGTAGTCACTTCAACAACATGCTTTCTGCTCACAACTATCCTTGAACATGCCTGTACGTTGAATGCTACTGATACCAATACCCCGACATTAATGCTGACGAACAAATCAAGCCTTATTAGCAATCATACCAGATTGGCGGGCAAAGTTGAAAATACCCCCAGCGTCAATCACAGGCCCGGCTTCCCCAATGGGATTCAGTGCGTACTGCTTGCCTGTGGTGTGATGGATCAGCAGATCATGCTCCAGATCTACAGTCACCTCATCCCCCGACTTAATCACCTCACACAGCCTCACGCCAAGCCCCTCGGCCGCTTCAACAGGGTAGAGCTCCCCCGTCGCAACGCAGTTGCGGAAGAAAATCCGCGCGTACGACTCCGCCACCACCGCGCGGCAGCCCGCCGCGCCGAGCGCAACGGGCGCGTGCTCGCGCGACGAACCGCACCCGAAGTTAGCCCCGCCGATGATGATCGTATATTCCGTCTTCATCTGCCCCTTCTGCACGTACCGCAGCGTGTGCTTTGCCGGCAGCCCCGCCAGCGCGTAGCTCCCGAGTTTCTCGTACTCCTCGGGGTTGGACGGCACGAGCGTTAGGTACTCGGCGGGGATGATCTGATCCGTGTCGATGTTGTCCTCCAGCACGAAGCACTTGCCCCGGATGATGCGCCCGGACGGCTGAGATCCGTCGCCGCCCGCCATCCCACGGACAGGAGTGGCTGCCGCGGCGCCAGCAGATCGCGTGGGACGGGAGGTCTGGCGCGCGCATTGGCGGGAGAGTGAGGTAAGAGTCGGGGAGGTGGAGCTGAGGGAAGAGAGTGCGCGGCAGGGTAAGGCGGCTGGCAACGAGACGCTGCTGGATGGTTTGTTCAAAGACGCGGCGGAGGCTGGCAAAACGAAGGCAGCGGTCGCGTTAGACGCCATTTGGCACGCCATTTTTTCAGCGGTGCGTTCGGACAAAGTATGGGAGCGTCAAAAACGCACAGGAGCTCACAGATAAAAGGTGAGAGCTGACGTCGAAGGCGGGATAGGTCATGAGCTATGGTTGCTTGGGTGTCTGTTCATATCAAACCCTGAACCGTTGCCCGAGATTCAGCATACGCGTTGTTGGAGGTCCACTTGTGGAGATGACAGTACACTTGGCCTGTATGTACGATTTAAAGGTGCCACTGGTTTGTAAACCCACATCCAAGAGAGGTCCCAAAATTTGACGAACGGGGATGTACAAGTGAAACCTTTCGCAGCGACCTTGCTACTATTTGGGTTTATTGCACATAATCGTGACACTTAGTCGAAATGTAGCGTCAAATTGCTCCTCGAAGCGTGTTACGGACGACCTTTGCTTCACCAGTCGAACCCCAGAACCAGTGAGGAGGCTTGAGTTGTTTTCAGACTGTTCGCCACGAAAGCCTCGTGACAGATTCCGGACCCACGAGCTGAACAGAACGATCTTGAGTTGAGTGCAGCTCGTGGTGTAAACAAAGACTGCTTGCGCTAAGCACTTCACTTAGCACTCGTGTAGTAGTTCAGTTCAGTTGACAGATCTTCGTTAGACCTAGATTCTAGTCTCCTGCCTCCAAGCCGCACAAGCATCTTTTCGGCGGTTGAGGTCATAGAATTAAATGCACTACTAATCACTAACCTGAGCTCGCCGTTGCTCTAGCAATCCAAAGTGCCTCAATTTTCCCAACGTCTAATCTCACCGTAGGCTCAACCGCGACTTAGGATTCCCGCGGCTCGTTACGAGGACTCTGCGGCTCAGCGGCTTACCTGCTGACCGGCTCTGCATACCTGCTGGCCGGCTGACCGGCTGACCGGATTACCTGCTAACCGGCTGCGTATATACCTGCGGAATGGCGGGGAAGGAGGGGAAGGAGACGGGCCTCGAGCCGTACGTAGACCGTGAGTCGCTTCCATTTCCGCTTCCCTGCCCCCCTGCTTCCGCAATTCCGTGATTCGCTCGCACCGCAACTGACCAGTTCACCTCGCCGTGCCCTCTCTCTATTTATCTTCCCCTCCACTTATGTGCGCGATTCCCATCGTGACTGATTAGACACGTAGCTAATGTCCGTGTGTGTGCGTGTGCTGCTGGTGCATGTGCTTGTGTTGTTGCTTGCGCGCGCGAGGTAACGACCGGGCGGGGCTACTGGAGGGTGCGGCGTGGGGAGGAAGGGGGCTTTGCGGAGGGGAAGGGGGGTGTGGAAGGGGTCGGGGGGCGAGGGGAGGGGGCGGCTGGTGTCCGCGGAATGGAGGGGGAGGAGTGGTGCGCGTGTGCAGTGACTGTGTCGGTGATCACCAATGACGGCCGCAACATCGTGGTGAGTGTGGGCATTTCCTCAAAACAGTAATGACGACTCGCTTATCCATTTTGAAGAGTCCACCTCCACCCATTCCATTTGATGAGCATTCAAACAGGTCTTTCAACAACAGCAAAGCTTCATGTAATAAGCTGCTGTCAGCCTTTCCTCTCTTAGCCTCATTCATTATTCCACCTGAACCTGGCGATTCCTTGAAGTGTCTCGACGTGCATTCTCACATCACACCTCCCATGCTCTCCTCCTGCGTGCGCGTGCTGGCACGTGCAGGGGGTGCTGAAGGGGTTTGACCAGGCGACCAACATCATTCTGGATGAGTCACACGAGCGCGTCTACTCCACCAAGGCAACCCCACCTTCATGCTGCCATCTTCACTCCCACCGCCCCGCCATGCCACCTCATGCCTACGCTTTCTCGTTTCTACCCTGAGCATCCACTTTTTTTTTTTCAATCACACCTGATTTGTGTTCCGACCCCTCCTCGTGCCCACCTCCCTCCTGTCTCTCGTGGCCCCCTCCTTTCTATTTTCCATAGCGCCCTGTCCTGGCCGCTCTGCTGCTTCCATGCGTGACGTCCTCGTCAGGCCGCCCTTTTTTTTTTCCATACATTCCTCTCGCTGCCTTGAGGGCATCCTGTCGCTGCATACATCTTCCTTGTCTGCATGACCCCTTGTCCTCTCCACCTCGCCTTCCTCGCTTCTCCCAGTTGCTGCCTCTCCCAGTTGCTGCCTCTCCCAGTTGCTGCCTCTCCCATTCCCTCGGCACTTCTGCTGGACGTGCCAAGAAGGCCCCACTTTTGGCCAACTCCCTCTCTAGGCCTCCCTGCAACAAGCAGCGGTGGCATGCTTGCTCACTAGGAGCTTCAGTGTTGAGTAGCAGCGCCTCAGAGAAGCCTTTCTTCGTTCCTCTCTTCCTTCACATCCCGCCCTCCGCTGTGCAGCACGGTGTGGAGCAGCTGGTACTGGGGCTGTACATCATCCGCGGCGATAACATGTACGGCTCGTGGGGGGATGCTTGGCACGTGCCCGGGACATGACGGGGTGATGGGGGCGTGGGTGGGACATGAGGGGGTGATGAAGACGAGTGTACCATTGTTCTGGTAGAAGTTCTCCCTCTCATGCCGATCAAGTACCCGTTCCTCACAGTCCCCCCTCTGTGCCTTCTCCCTCTCCCCACTACCCTCCACTTCTCTGTCCACCTGTGCACCTCCTGCCTTCTCCCCACCCCATTCTTTCTCCCCCCCGAATCCGAGTGCACCCACACGCAACGCAATGCAGTGCGGTGGTGGGCGAGTTGGACGAGGACCTAGACTCGAGTCTCGACTTTGATGCTCTCAGAGCACAGCCGCTGCAACCTGTGTGCCACTAATGCCGCATGTTTCTCGATGTCCGTTTTCTTTCTAACAAGGGGATTAACCTTGATGTTTTTTTACATTGTTATGAGAATTGCACTTTGGAATAAAGATTAGGGTTGCAATCAATAAATGCATGCGTCAATCCTTTTCGAGTTAGTACTGATTTTCAGAATCAATGCTTATGTTGTTGATGGTGTGTGGATCACTTCCTAGCAATACTACACGCATATCTTTCGCGCACTTCACTGTGTTTGTATCGGACTTCGCTGTCTAACATTAGGGCGTGTATGATTTTTGAAACTGCCATAAGTATACGTTTTTAATTCGATTGTAGCATGTGAACACAGAGTGAACTTTATTCGACTTTGAGCTATAGCAAGTTCGAACCGCGGGTGTCAAAGGTGCTAGACTTAGGGCGTGTCTCTTTTTTATTTTAGGCATTTTGGCGGACTGTCCGCTTGTATGGAAACGGACGGTTGCAATAGCGAGTATCGGACTGTCCGTTTCAAAAATTCGAAACATGGGACAGTCCGTAGGCAAAACTGTCACTTTTCACCCCATCGCTGATTCCCGATTTACTGTAGCATCGCAACACCTCGTGCACCATCGTAACCCCAGTCACACACCCTCGCCAAAATCGCAACTACAGGTAGCGGCTCGACATCCCCCGAATGCTCAAAAACTGCACTCTACACAACAGGCGAAGGTTGGGTAGAGGAACCCGGAAGGGAGGTTTAAGGTGTGGTATTGGCCGGTCGAGAGTTGTCATTTCCGCTTGACTGCTCAATCGCGGGCTGATTCTGATGGTTCGGTTCGGATTGATGGGGATTTGTAGTTTTGGTGGGCTAGGGGGCGTAGTGTCGGTTCAATGTTCAGGAGCGCGACGCGCGCCAATAATAAATCGAACATGCGACTCGGTGCAGTTTTTTCTCTAAATTCGCGCGCCAATCACGTGTTAGAACTGTGCTTCTGGCCGTTTGCATTTCGAACTGACAAAGGTTCATAATGTGAACCGTTGTGTGGAGGGAAAAGTGGCGCGACGGTTCGAACTGTTAGCGACGTCGCAGACTCCTTCGCGAGCTTTTTGCGAATTATAACGAAAACTACAACGTTTTCGCAATTCGGACGGTCCACGGTTCGAACCGTCGGGAGCAAAAAAGAGACACGCCCTTTCAATCACAAGCGCAAAAGCGAATTTGGAGGTTCGAGATTATATGGGTGAACCGAGCCGCCTAGAGGGTGCGTAGGTTACCTGGTGTTATCTTTTTGACAGTACGTCGCTGCTCCTCGTACGTTCGGCTCATCAAGCAAAACCACGTTTGGAAAAATCTCGACTCTTGTTTACTTTTGTATGTTCGAATTTGGTAGTTCCCAGCGTGAAGTCAACATTGACGAAACATATTTGCGATCTTGGCGAAACTGGCTACCACCAAAGGTCCACCCATTTTACGAACTCGAAAACATATCGTACACGCCCTTAGACAATCTGCATTGTCTGGCTTGAGTGAGTTGTGATGGATTCAATTCTGTTTCATCCTCCATTCCGTCCATCCAGAGACCACGCTATGGCCGCACGAGCTCGCCTCCCCGCACTGCGCGCCGCTGCAGCAGCCACAGCGTGTGTCGCCGCTGCTGCAGCATCAGCCTCGTTAGAAGCAGCTGCGGCAAGATCGTCCACAGCGCCAGCGGCAGCCAGCGACGAACACAATGATCAGAAGGCGATCCGCGATGGTGATGGCGCGAGGGATCTCAGCAACAGCGACGGCGGCTTTAGCGGCAGGATTCCCGGTGCAGAGCTGTCATGCGGTGGGTGTGGCTTTCAACTCGCGTGAAATCAGGTCGAATCACGACCGTTGACGTGGAATCAGGCCCAGTCGTCTCAAGCCGTGATTCTAGCTCCTAGCGTCGTGAGCCCGACTCGAATCGTAGCGTCGCGCGCCTGAGCTGTTCTTTGCGTGTGGCGGCGTTTTTGGCTGGTAGGCCCAATATATTATTGACTCAATATAGACATCGGATGTCACAAATGATGTCGTTCGGATGAACATCATTTACCCAATAATGCGGCTTTTCTTCTCCGCCCCCCCAAGAACCCCTCTTTCTCCTCTCCCTGCTCCCTCGCATGCCCTGCTTCCCACCGTGTCTTTTGACTTCCCATCCCGTGCGCCTTTCCTCTCCCTCATGCGTGCGGCACATCAGGCACTCTTCACGTGCCCCTGCCGCTAGACAAGCTCATGTGCCACGTGACAAGGCCGAGAGACGCCAGCGGCACCTCGCTCTTCAAAGGCCGGCCTCCTGGCAACCACCCTCAGGCGGTGCTGCTGCTTCCTGGAAGCTTCAACCCACCCACGATCATGCACCTGAGGATGCTGGGTAGGTGGGAGGGTGGGGGGGTCTACAGGGAATCAGCTCAGGTCACGTGACATCACAGAGAGCCATCCGCTTTCATGTCTTTTGCAAGGAAGGAACTCTTTCAGTGATTGATGGTACTCTTCACACCATAGTGTGCACTCAGCCGCCATGCCATGCTAGCGCCTTGGAAGGACTTGGCTGTGGGGGTGGAGGTCGGTGGTTCCTTCCCTCCGTCCATGCCAGATCACTCATGTCATGTGGGGGAGCTTACTAGACTCTCACCAGCGATGCCACGCCATGCATCGGAAAGCTCACCGGACCTGCTTCCACGCACTCACTGCCACTTGTTCCCTGCCCCCTCCATCCGTCAAACACTTGTCCATCCCCTAACCTCCCACGATTTTCAAAACAGGCCGTGGCTAAGACATACCTACCGAACAGGTTTGTTCAGTTGAGCTGTGTGGTGGACCCCCCTGCTGGCCCTCGTGCCTCCCTCCCGCCCTGCCTGCAGAGATGGCGCGCGATGCGCTGCAGGACCGTGGGTGGGACGTGGTTGGTGCATACATGTCACCAGTCAACGACCAGTACGGTAAACAGGTGCGCTTGTATCGAGTGTGGAGAATTGGCATGCATGCGGGCATCAGCATGTCTTCTTGCGTTTGATCTCATCACCATGCATCTCATCACCATACATCTCATTACCATGCATCTCATTACCATGCATCTCATTACCATGCATCTCATCACCATGCATCTCATCACCATGCATCTCATTACCATGCATCTCATTACCATGCATCTCATCACCATGCATCTCATTACCATGCATCTCATCACCATGCATCTCATCACCATGCATCTCATCACCATGCATCTCATCACCATGCATCTCATCACCATGCATCTCATCACCATGCATCTCATCAACATGCATCTCATCACCATGCATCTCATCACCATGCATCTCATCACCATGCATCTCATCACCATGCATCTCATCACCATGCATCTCATCACCATGCATCTCCTCACCATGCTTCTCATCACCATGCATCTCATCACCATGCATCTCATCACCATGCATCTCATCATCATGCATCTCATCACCATGCATCTCATCATCATGCATCTCGTCACCATGCACCTCATCACCATGCATGTCATCACCATGCATCTCATCACCATGCATCTCATCATCATGCATCTCGTCACCATGCATCTCATCACCATGCATGTCATAGCCATGGTTGCCCACCATTCGCTGCTGATTCTCGCCATCTGCTCCCCTGTCGCCCTCCCACTGCTTCCATTGACCCTCTGCCACTCCCCCCTCTCCGTCCTTCCCTATGCTCCCCTCCATCTTCTCGCGCTCAATCCTCAGGGCCTTGCCCCCGCCAAAGAGCGGGTAACCATGTGCCAGCTGGCATGCGCTGATTCGCCATTCATCATGGTGGACCCCTGGGAGGTGCGTGCACGCAGTTTCCTGGAAGGTGGGCTAGGCTGTCACGCACTTGTGACCTCCCACACGTGCATCCCTGCGCTCCTCTGTCCACACGTGCATCCCTGTGGAGGCAGTGGTGAAGTCAAGCTGTGCGGCTGCATCGTCTCTCGCCATCCTCCACCCGCAACTTCTGTGACGTTGCAACACCTGCCAAAGCAGTGACGTTGCAACACCTGCCAAAGCAGTGCAACACGTCTTTCACTCTCCACACCCTCTCTGTCCTTACCGACCATCCATGTTCATTTCCTCATGTGCTTTTTGCTGTTATCTCCTTCCCCTTCCACTCCCCCATACTTCCATTGCTTCCTGCTATCGCTCCTCACACTTCCATCCGCTTCTCTCCACGTCCTCTGTGCCACCACCTCTGTGTGTCCCCGTGGTCCCTGTGTGCAGTCATCCCAGCAGTGCTACCAGCGCACCGTCTGTGTGCTGCGACGCCTGCACCACACACTCATTGGCCCCGCTGCTTCAAACTCCTCCTCTGCCGCCCAACCTCCTTCCCATGCCACCCACTCAACGCTGCCCATGCATTCCCCGCCATCACTGGGAAACCTGTCATCCACATCCCCTCTTCCCCCACACCCACTCTCGTACCAGGCGGCCCCACACCCACCCTTCCCAGCACCTGCACACCCACACTCACCCTCCCCAGCATCCCCACACCCGCACCCGCCTCTGCACGCTCACATGTGGGCGCTTGATGGCGCCATGGCGGAGTCGCCCTCGCTGCTGCCCACTGCTGCTGCTGGCGCAGGCATGCAGGGGGAAGGCGCGGAAGGAGGGCAGGCAAATAGAGTGGAGGGAGAGGACGATGGGGGGCAGGGTGTGAGCGGTGTGGGGGAATGGAGGAGAGAAGAGGGCGAGAGGCATTTGATGGGAGCGGTGGCCAGTGGAGTGAAGGGCGACATGAGGGAGGGGGGCGGAGGAGTGGGTGGGGGAGGGGTAGCGGCAGCGGAGAGGCAGCAGGGAGGGGGGGGGAGGGTGCAGGTGATGCTGGTGTGCGGGGCGGACCTGCTTGAGTCCTTCACCCACCCGGGCGTGTGGGTGCCCTCCCATGTGAGTAGTGCTGGTCTTGCACGCTATGATATGGTATGGCGTGGTATGGCATACTTCACCTTGGCACGGCATGGGATGGCCTGGTATGGCATGGCATGTTGTGGTGTGGTGTGGTGTGTTGTGGTGTGGTGTGGTATGATACTGTATGGTATGATATGGTGCTGTATGGCATAGTACGCCTTGGCGCGGCGTGGGATGGTGTGGTATGGCATGGCTTGGACTATAGTGTGGTGTAGTGTCGTATGGTATGGTATGGTATGGTATGGTATGGTATGGTATGGTATGGTATGGTATGGTATGGTATGGTATGGCATGGCATGGCATGGCATGGTATGGCATGGCATGGCATGGTATGGCATGGTATGGCATGGTATGGCATGGTATGGCATGGTATGGCATGGTATGGCATGGTATGGTATGGTATGGTATGGTATGGCATGGTATGGCATGGCATGGTATGGTATGGCATGGCATGGCATGGCATGGCGTGGCGTGGCGTGGCGTGGCATGGCATGGCATGGCTTGGTATGGCGTGGTATGGTATGGTATGGTATGGTATGGTATGGTATGGTATGGTATGGTATGGTATGGTATGGTATGGTATGGTATGGTATGGTATGGTATGGTATGGTATGGTATGGTATGGTATCGCATGATATCGCATGGTCTGGCATGGCCTGGTCTGATGTGGTGTGGTATTGTATGGTTTTGCATGGTATAGGATGGTATGCAATGCTATGCAGACTCGTAGCATGGCATGTTTGTCATAGCATATCATTACGCCATTGCCACCCATGCACCTCACCGCTCCCATGTGAGCCATGCCATTTGCAAACCGACCCCTCACCACCCCCCCAATAACCCCCACCCTTGTGCCCCCATTGCCCCACGCCGCCACATCGCCATGCGCTGCACCACCCTCTGGTGCATGGCATGGCATGGCAGGTGGAGGAGGTGCTGGGTTCGCACGGAGTGGTGTGCATCGCGCGCCATGGCAGTGACGCTCACCGCCTTGTGCTGCACTCTGACCTGCTGCACCGCCACCGCGTGAGTCCATGCCACGCTTGAATCCGTGCCCGGGGTGTGAGTGTGGGAGTGTGCGAGAGAGGGAGAGAGACAGTGATGGGGCGAGGACGCACAGGAGAGAGGAAGAGAGGGAGGAGGGGGGGAGAGTTTGGTTCCTCACTTGCCTCTTCCATCGTGTCCTTTTCCCTCCCTGTCCCCCTACCAGCACAACATCCTTATAGTGGATCAGCCTATAGAGAACAACGTCAGCTCTTCGCACATCCGGTACCTCTCCCTCCCCCCCTTGCACCCCATTGCGCCTCGCTCCTTCTCTTGAGGCGCCTCAAAAGGCACCCCATTGCGCCTCGCTCCTTCTCTTGAGGCGCCTCAAAAGGCACCCCATTGCGCCTCGCTCCTTCTCTTGAGGCGCCTCAAAAGGCACCCCATTGCCCCTCGCTCCTTCTCTTGAGGCGCCTCAAAAGGCACCCCATTGCGCCTCGCTCCTTCTCCGCACTGCCCCGTGAACCGCCCCCTTGCCCGCTTGCACATGTCTAACATCATTCTTGCACATGTCTAACATCAATCTTGCACATGTCTAACATCAATCTTGCACCTGTCTGACATCAATCTCGCACCTGTCTAACATCAATCTCGCACCTGTCTAACATCAATCTTGCACCTGTCTAACATCAATCTTGCACCTGTCTAACATCAATTACCGTAAGCATTCTTCTGAGTACCCACTATGTTTGCCTTGCCTTACGCTTCCCCTTGCTGTGCCGTTTCGCTTGCCTCATCGCCGCTATTAGTCAAAACCCTCCCCTGCACCTCATCATTTGGACTCACTCCACCGCACTGCACCCACGGCATGCCTGCCTCTCATGTGCCTGTGCACATGCGTGCAGGCGGCTGCTACAGCGGGGCCTGTCAGCCAAGTACCTCGTGCCAGATGCAGTGCTGGCGCACATCCGTGCAGCTCGCCTGTACAAACACGCAGACTAGGGCCTCTGACTTGAGTGAACGCAACAGTCACCCATTACCCTTGTGCCACACACGATGGCTGGAGAAGATACAAGAGGCAGGCCCGTACGGCAGCACAGAGTAGGGCTTTCAGATCAGTTGAACAATATCCATGTGTAGGTCTAGTGCTAGTATGTTTAGTAACCAAGTCTGCTTGATGTGCCTTGTACATTAGGTTTTGTTTACAGTAGTGCTTGCACGAATGTACAACGATAATTATAGCGATGACTATTTACATTTTATTACTGCTGACTAGAAAGGTAGGATCATGGATATGCAGGGTCCCCATACCTAATGTAACATAATAAACATCAGGAATAGCCTTATTGAAGTTCTCATAGTAAAACCTCTCCAAGAGTTTTTTTGGCCCAACATTGCTTCTCGGGCAGCTCTTGAAATTCGGGCGGGCCTTGTAAAGCGAGGAGCCCTTTCTCACGCCCAAGTCATCCTCCACGAAATCCAGGAACTGCGCGTCAGCGACGCTCGTGACGTTGATGTAGCGGTGCGAGTTGAGGCGCGGCGTGTTGGGCAGGTCCTCGCAGTACTTGAAGTCCATGTCGTAGTCGAGTGTGTTCACCAACACCAGCATTAGCGAGTTGCGCGTGGGCAGCCCGCTGCACTTGCCCGTCTGCGTGGCGTTGAGGGTTCCGCGCGCGTTGGTGTTGCATGGCACGCCGCTTACGCCCGTCTCTGAGCACACTGTTTGCATCCATGGCCAGTTCTGATGTGGATGCACGGGGTGGATAGGGGTGATGAGGGGTGGAGAGGGGTAGTGTGGAGAGAAGGGGCGAGGAGCAGGGGGGGGAGAGAGGTGGTGGACAGGTGAGACGGCCGAGAATGTTTGAGGCTCTATGATGGCAATCTAATGCGTGCATGCTAACAGGGGTGTGGGATGGAGAGCACGGAGAAAGAGGATAAGAGTGCAAGTGGGGTGTGTGGGCAAGGCGTGCGGGGTGCATGAGAGGCACACATGGTGCTTGAGAGGCACACATGGTGCTTGAGAGGCACACATGGTGCTTGAGAGGCACACATGGTGCTTGAGAGGCACACATGGTGCTTGAGAGGCACACATGGTGCTTGAGAGGCACACATGGTGCTTGAGAGGCACACATGGTGCTTGAGAGGCACACATGGTGCTTGAGAGGCACACATGGTGCTTGAGAGGCACACATGGTGCTTGAGAGGCACACATGGTGCTTGAGAGGCACACATGGTGCTTGAGAGGCACACATGGTGCTTGAGAGGCACACATGGTGCTTGAGAGGCACACATGGTGCTTGAGAGGCACACATGGTGCTTGAGAGGCACACATGGTGCTTGAGAGGCACACATGGTGCTTGAGAGGCACACATGGTGCTTGAGAGGCACACATGGTGCTTGAGAGGCACACATGGTGCTTGAGAGGCACACATGGTGCTTGAGAGGCACACATGGTGCTTGAGAGGCACACATGGTGCTTGAGAGGCACACATGGTGCTTGAGAGGCACACATGGTGCTTGAGAGGCACACATGGTGCTTGAGAGGCACACATGGTGCTTGAGAGGCACACATGGTGCTTGAGAGGCACACATGGTGCTTGAGAGGCACACATGGTGCTTGAGAGGCACACATGGTGCTTGAGAGGCACACATGGTGCTTGAGAGGCACACATGGTGCTTGAGAGGCACACATGGTGCTTGAGAGGCACACATGGTGCTTGAGAGGCACACATGGTGCTTGAGAGGCACACATGGTGCTTGAGAGGCACACATGGTGCTTGAGAGGCACACATGGTGCTTGAGAGGCACACATGGTGCTTGAGAGGCACACATGGTGCTTGAGAGGCACACATGGTGCTTGAGAGGCACACATGGTGCTTGAGAGGCACACATGGTGCTTGAGAGGCACACATGGTGCTTGAGAGGCACACATGGTGCTTGAGAGGCACACATGGTGCTTGAGAGGCACACATGGTGCTTGAGAGGCACACATGGTGCTTGAGAGGCACACATGGTGCTTGAGAGGCACACATGGTGCTTGAGAGGCACACATGGTGCTTGAGAGGCACACATGGTGCTTGAGAGGCACACATGGTGCTTGAGAGGCACACATGGTGCTTGAGAGGCACACATGGTGCTTGAGAGGCACACATGGTGCTTGAGAGGCACACATGGTGCTTGAGAGGCACACATGATGCTTGAGAGGCACACATGGTGTATGAGAGGCACACATGGTGCTTGAGAGGCACACATGGTGCTTGAGAGGCACACATGGTGCTTGAGAGGCACACATGGTGCTTGAGAGGCACACATGGTGCTTGAGAGGCACACATGGTGCTTGAGAGGCACACATGGTGCTTGAGAGGCACACATGGTGCTTGAGAGGCACACATGGTGCTTGAGAGGCACACATGGTGCTTGAGAGGCACACATGGTGCTTGAGAGGCACACATGGTGCTTGAGAGGCACACATGGTGCTTGAGAGGCACACATGGTGCTTGAGAGGCACACATGGTGCTTGAGAGGCACACATGGTGCTTGAGAGGCACACATGGTGCTTGAGAGGCACACATGGTGCTTGAGAGGCACACATGGTGCTTGAGAGGCACACATGGTGCTTGAGAGGCACACATGGTGCTTGAGAGGCACACATGGTGCTTGAGAGGCACACATGGTGCTTGAGAGGCACACATGGTGCTTGAGAGGCACACATGGTGCTTGAGAGGCACACATGGTGCTTGAGAGGCACACATGGTGCTTGAGAGGCACACATGGTGCTTGAGAGGCACACATGGTGCTTGAGAGGCACACATGGTGCTTGAGAGGCACACATGGTGCTTGAGAGGCACACATGGTGCTTGAGAGGCACACATGGTGCTTGAGAGGCACACATGGTGCTTGAGAGGCACACATGGTGCTTGAGAGGCACACATGGTGCTTGAGAGGCACACATGGTGCTTGAGAGGCACACATGGTGCTTGAGAGGCACACATGGTGCTTGAGAGGCACACATGGTGCTTGAGAGGCACACATGGTGCTTGAGAGGCACACATGGTGCTTGAGAGGCACACATGGTGCTTGAGAGGCACACATGGTGCTTGAGAGGCACACATGGTGCTTGAGAGGCACACATGGTGCTTGAGAGGCACACATGGTGCTTGAGAGGCACACATGGTGCTTGAGAGGCACACATGGTGCTTGAGAGGCACACATGGTGCTTGAGAGGCACACATGGTGCTTGAGAGGCACACATGGTGCTTGAGAGGCACACATGGTGCTTGAGAGGCACACATGGTGCTTGAGAGGCACACATGGTGCTTGAGAGGCACACATGGTGCTTGAGAGGCACACATGGTGCTTGAGAGGCACACATGGTGCTTGAGAGGCACACATGGTGCTTGAGAGGCACACATGGTGCTTGAGAGGCACACATGGTGCTTGAGAGGCACACATGGTGCTTGAGAGGCACACATGGTGCTTGAGAGGCACACATGGTGCTTGAGAGGCACACATGGTGCTTTGGCACAACGAGTGAGTGGAGGTGTGCTGGGTGCTGTGGTGCTGTGGTGCTGTGGTGCTGTGGTGCTGTGGTGCTGTGGTGCTGTGGTGCTGTGGTGCTGTGGTGCTGTGGTGCTGTGGTGCTGTGGTGCTGTGGTGCTGTGGTGCTGTGGTGCTGTGGTGCTGTGGTGCTGTGGTGCTGTGGTGCTGTGGTGCTGTGGTGCTGTGGTGCTGTGGTGCTGTGGTGCTGTGGTGCTGTGGTGCTGTGGTGCTGTGGTGCTGTGGTGCTGTGGTGCTGTGGTGCTGTGGTGCTGTGGTGCTGTGGTGCTGTGGTGCTGTGGTGCTGTGGTGCTGTGGTGCTGTGGTGCTGTGGTGCTGTGGTGCTGTGGTGCTGTGGTGCTGTGGTGCTGTGGTGCTGTGGTGCTGTGGTGCTGTGGTGCTGTGGTGCTGTGGTGCTGTGGTGCTGTGGTGCTGTGGTGCTGTGGTGCTGTGGTGCTGTGGTGCTGTGGTGCTGTGGTGCTGTGGTGCTGTGGTGCTGTGGTGCTGTGGTGCTGTGGTGCTGTGGTGCTGTGGTGCTGTGGTGCTGTGGTGCTGTGGTGCTGTGGTGCTGTGGTGCTGTGGTGCTGTGGTGCTGTGGTGCTGTGGTGCTGTGGTGCTGTGGTGCTGTGGTGCTGTGGTGCTGTGGTGCTGTGGTGCTGTGGTGCTGTGGTGCTGTGGTGCTGTGGTGCTGTGGTGCTGTGGTGCTGTGGTGCTGTGGTGCTGTGGTGCTGTGGTGCTGTGGTGCTGTGGTGCTGTGGTGCTGTGGTGCTGTGGTGCTGTGGTGCTGTGGTGCTGTGGTGCTGTGGTGCTGTGGTGCTGTGGTGCTGTGGTGCTGTGGTGCTGTGGTGCTGTGGTGCTGTGGTGCTGTGGTGCTGTGGTGCTGTGGTGCTGTGGTGCTGTGGTGCTGTGGTGCTGTGGTGCTGTGGTGCTGTGGTGCTGTGGTGCTGTGGTGCTGTGGTGCTGTGGTGCTGTGGTGCTGTGGTGCTGTGGTGCTGTGGTGCTGTGGTGCTGTGGTGCTGTGGTGCTGTGGTGCTGTGGTGCTGTGGTGCTGTGGTGCTGTGGTGCTGTGGTGCTGTGGTGCTGTGGTGCTGTGGTGCTGTGGTGCTGTGGTGCTGTGGTGCTGTGGTGCTGTGGTGCTGTGGTGCTGTGGTGCTGTGGTGCTGTGGTGCTGTGGTGCTGTGGTGCTGTGGTGCTGTGGTGCTGTGGTGCTGTGGTGCTGTGGTGCTGTGGTGCTGTGGTGCTGTGGTGCTGTGGTGCTGTGGTGCTGTGGTGCTGTGGTGCTGTGGTGCTGTGGTGCTGTGGTGCTGTGGTGCTGTGGTGCTGTGGTGCTGTGGTGCTGTGGTGCTGTGGTGCTGTGGTGCTGTGGTGCTGTGGTGCTGTGGTGCTGTGGTGCTGTGGTGCTGTGGTGCTGTGGTGCTGTGGTGCTGTGGTGCTGTGGTGCTGTGGTGCTGTGGTGCTGTGGTGCTGTGGTGCTGTGGCGCTGTGGCGCTGTGGTGCTGTGGCGCTGTGGCGCTGTGGTGCTGTGGCGCTGTGGCGCTGTGGCGCTGTGGTGCTGTGGTGCTTGAGAGGCACACATGGTGCTTGAGAGGCACACATGGTGCTTGAGAGGCACACATGGTGCTTGAGAGGCACACATGGTGCTTGAGAGGCACACATGGTGCTTGAGAGGCACACATGGTGCTTGAGAGGCACACATGGTGCTTGAGAGGCACACATGGTGCTTGAGAGGCACACATGGTGCTTGAGAGGCACACATGGTGCTTGAGAGGCACACATGGTGCTTGAGAGGCACACATGGTGCTTGAGAGGCACACATGGTGCTTGAGAGGCACACATGGTGCTTGAGAGGCACACATGGTGCTTGAGAGGCACACATGGTGCTTGAGAGGCACACATGGTGCTTGAGAGGCACACATGGTGCTTGAGAGGCACACATGGTGCTTGAGAGGCACACATGGTGCTTGAGAGGCACACATGGTGCTTTGGCACAACGAGTGAGTGGAGGTGTGCTGGGTGCTGTGGTGCTGTGGTGCTGTGGTGCTGTGGTGCTGTGGTGCTGTGGTGCTGTGGTGCTGTGGTGCTGTGGTGCTGTGGTGCTGTGGTGCTGTGGTGCTGTGGTGCTGTGGTGCTGTGGTGCTGTGGTGCTGTGGTGCTGTGGTGCTGTGGTGCTGTGGTGCTGTGGTGCTGTGGTGCTGTGGTGCTGTGGTGCTGTGGTGCTGTGGTGCTGTGGTGCTGTGGTGCTGTGGTGCTGTGGTGCTGTGGTGCTGTGGTGCTGTGGTGCTGTGGTGCTGTGGTGCTGTGGTGCTGTGGTGCTGTGGTGCTGTGGTGCTGTGGTGCTGTGGTGCTGTGGTGCTGTGGTGCTGTGGTGCTGTGGTGCTGTGGTGCTGTGGTGCTGTGGTGCTGTGGTGCTGTGGTGCTGTGGTGCTGTGGTGCTGTGGTGCTGTGGTGCTGTGGTGCTGTGGTGCTGTGGTGCTGTGGTGCTGTGGTGCTGTGGTGCTGTGGTGCTGTGGTGCTGTGGTGCTGTGGTGCTGTGGTGCTGTGGTGCTGTGGTGCTGTGGTGCTGTGGTGCTGTGGTGCTGTGGTGCTGTGGTGCTGTGGTGCTGTGGTGCTGTGGTGCTGTGGTGCTGTGGTGCTGTGGTGCTGTGGTGCTGTGGTGCTGTGGTGCTGTGGTGCTGTGGTGCTGTGGTGCTGTGGTGCTGTGGTGCTGTGGTGCTGTGGTGCTGTGGTGCTGTGGTGCTGTGGTGCTGTGGTGCTGTGGTGCTGTGGTGCTGTGGTGCTGTGGTGCTGTGGTGCTGTGGTGCTGTGGTGCTGTGGTGCTGTGGTGCTGTGGTGCTGTGGTGCTGTGGTGCTGTGGTGCTGTGGTGCTGTGGTGCTGTGGTGCTGTGGTGCTGTGGTGCTGTGGTGCTGTGGTGCTGTGGTGCTGTGGTGCTGTGGTGCTGTGGTGCTGTGGTGCTGTGGTGCTGTGGTGCTGTGGTGCTGTGGTGCTGTGGTGCTGTGGTGCTGTGGTGCTGTGGTGCTGTGGTGCTGTGGTGCTGTGGTGCTGTGGTGCTGTGGTGCTGTGGTGCTGTGGTGCTGTGGTGCTGTGGTGCTGTGGTGCTGTGGTGCTGTGGTGCTGTGGTGCTGTGGTGCTGTGGTGCTGTGGTGCTGTGGTGCTGTGGTGCTGTGGTGCTGTGGTGCTGTGGTGCTGTGGTGCTGTGGTGCTGTGGTGCTGTGGTGCTGTGGTGCTGTGGTGCTGTGGTGCTGTGGTGCTGTGGTGCTGTGGTGCTGTGGTGCTGTGGTGCTGTGGTGCTGTGGTGCTGTGGTGCTGTGGTGCTGTGGTGCTGTGGTGCTGTGGTGCTGTGGTGCTGTGGTGCTGTGGTGCTGTGGTGCTGTGGTGCTGTGGTGCTGTGGTGCTGTGGTGCTGTGGTGCTGTGGTGCTGTGGTGCTGTGGTGCTGTGGTGCTGTGGTGCTGTGGTGCCGGGGAGAGTACCTGGTTGATCTGCGCCGAGTTGTAGTATTTACGGCGCATCTGCTCCCAGTACGACCCGGGCTTCTTGCCGCAGTTCACCACCTCCGCTGTCAGGCACGTCGACCACCCTGGTGTCCACCGCGTGTTCTTTATGATCACATCCTCTATCACGTTGCTGCCCGGTGGCCATGGGGCGCGGGGTGGGTGGGGGAAGGGAGAGCAACATGATGAGGTGTGGGGAATGGATGGGTGGGCTGCAAGGGTGGATGCATGAATGCGTTGGTTGACTATGAGTGGAAGTCATTACTGCACTACACTCACGTGCCTCAATGCGCCGCACAGCGACTGGCAATAGGCTATGGGCCATGGCAAGCTGATACTCGAAACTTCTCTACTCTCACCCTCCAACCACACCTCGCCGCCCCCCCCTCCCCTCCCCTCCCCTCCCCTCCCCTCCCCTCCCCTCCCCTCCCCTCCCCTCCCCTCCCCTCCCCTCCCCTCCCCTCCCCTCCCCTCCCCTCCCCTCCCCTCCCATCCCATCCCATCCCATCCCATCCCATCCCATCCCATCCCATCCCATCCCATCCCATCCCATCCCATCCCATCCCATCCCATCCCATCCCATCCCATCCCATCCCATCCCATCCCATCCCATCCCATCCCATCCCATCCCATCCCATCCCTTCCCATCCCATCCCATCCCATCCCCTCCCCTCCCCTCCCATCCCATCCCATCCCATCCCCTCCCCTCCCCTCCCCTCCCCTCCCCTCCCCTCCCCTCCCCTCCCCTCCCCTCCCCTCCCCTCCCCTCCCCTCCCATCCCATCCCACCCCATCCTACCTCTTGCCGTTGTTGACCTTCATGCCTGCGTACGTGTCGATGCACGCCCCGCCTCGGATGGTGACACCAGACGATGCGAAGTCGAGGTAGTAGCACTGGTCGCCGCCAATCACATAGTTGCACTCCGCTAGATTGCCTGGTGTTGGGGAGCGGGGGGGTGGGTGGGTGATGGGGCATGCATGGTGCTTGAAACGTGTTCCCGGGCTCGTGGTGTGTGCATGGAGGTAGCAGCACTGGTCGCCGCCGATCACGTAGTTGCACTCCTCTAGGTTGCCTGCCGTGACGCGCGGTGGGAGAGGGAGCAAGGAACGATATGTGAGGCGCCTGAGAGAAAGGTAGCAGGCGGGGCCGGTGGCAATCACGTCAGCGCTCTCCGCCACCAACCATGCCTCACAGGGTGCGTGGCGTGGGGGGAGCAAAGGTGGGTGGGCCATGGGACACGCGTCTTCACACGGGGTGGGTGGGTAGACGCTGAGGATCCACGCTACACGCCATAGGGTGGCGGCAGGGCCCATGTCAGTGGCACCCGCTGTGACCCCACACACCATGCCGCCATGGCAGGCCGTGCCCGTACACGGCACGGCATGGCATGGCATGGCATGGCATGGCATGGCATAGGACAGCGTGGCATGACATGGCATGGCATGGCATGGTACGGCATGGCACAGCTTGGCATGGCCATGGCATGGCATGGTACCTGCAAGGCAGGTATAGCACGGCACGGCTCGACATGCCATGGCACGGCACGGCGTAACAGGCATGGCATGGACTGGCACGGCACAACACGGCATCCCATGGGCACGGCACGGCATGGAATGGCATCAGGGCAGGGCGGGGCAGGGCAGGGCAGGGCGGGGCAGGGCAGGGCAGGGCAGGGCAGGGCAGGGCAGGGCAGGGCAGGGCAGGGCAGGGCAGGGCAGGGCAGGGCAGGGCATGGCATGGCAGGGCAGGGCAGGGCAGGGCAGGGCAGGGCAGGGCAGGGCAGGGCAGGGCAGGGCAGGGCAGGGCAGGGCAGGGCAGGGCAGGGCAGGGCAGGGCAGGGCAGGGCAGGGCAGGGCAGGGCAGGGCAGGGCAGGGCAGGGCAGGGCAGGGCAGGGCAGGGCAGGGCAGGGCAGGGCAGGGCAGGGCAGGGCACGGACCGGGGTTGAACCAGTGCGTGTTGAAGTAGATGCCGCTGGCGTCCATGTCGCCACTGATGTTGCGCCCCGTGGCCACCACGAGGTTGTTGGAGATGGTGGCGAGCATGCAGTCGCCCACGTACGACACGAATGCGCCACACACGATGCCGCCGAAGATGAAGTCGTGCACGTAGTTGTTGCGCACCGTCACGCCCACCGCCCCGAAATACAGCACTATGGGGAAGCGCGCTCCTGGCGGGAAAGGAGGGAAGGTAGAGGCGGGAAGAGGAGGCACAAATGTTTGAGTGTGCGGCGGCACTACGGTGAGTGTGCGGCGGCACTAAGGTGAGTGTGCTGCGGCACTAAGGTGAGTGTGCGGCGGCACTACGGTGAGTGTGCGGTGGCACTGCGGTGAGTGTGCGGTGGCACTGCGGTGAGTGTGCGGTGGCACTGCGGTGAGTGTGCGGCGGCACTACAGTGAGTGTGCGGCGGCACTACGGTGAGTGTGCGGTGGCACTACGGTGAGTGTGCGGTGGCACTACGGTGAGTGTGCGGTGGCACTGCGGTGAGTGTGCGGTGGCACTACGGTGAGTGTGCGGCGGCACTACGGTGAGTGTGTGCGTGCTGGGTGACTGGGTCAGTGGGGTGCACCTGCCATGCCATGCCAGCAGGTGATGCACGAAGGAAGAAAGCACCTGCCCGCTACAGCCCGTGCACGCACCAAAGACCTCATTGTTGCTGATGACGACAGCGCTGTGCTGCATGGTGGGGCCGTGGCCGCAGAAGGCAACGCGGATGAGCCCCTGGCCGCGCTTGAAGTCGCCCACCCCCGTCACCTTCATGCCGTCCACACGCACCGCCACCGACCACAACACGTCCACCCGCCCGTACACCGTGCCCCGTGCCACTTGCACGTTGGCCGCCTGCGGGTGGGGAGGGAGGGGAAGCAGCGGGTAGCAATGGAGAACAAGACGAGCGCTTCAGTTGGTTGCTTCGCTCATAGGTGCATCAAGGTTGGTGGCTACGGGGCAGTTGGCGGGCCCGGTGGATGTGGATGTGGATGGCGGGGCAGATGACGTCACCTGGTAGATGTGGATGGCCGGGCAGATGACGTCACCTGGTAGATGTGGATGGCGGGGCAGATGACGTCACCTGGTAGATGTGGATGGCGGGGCAGATGACGTCAGTGCCCACGTACGGTATCCCCTGGCACGCGAAGGTGTCAAGGGCGTAGGGCTGGAAAAAGGACACGCGCAGCACCACCACGTTGCTGGCGCCCGCTATGCGCAGCAGCGGCGCGTCCGTGCGCATCAGCGTGAGTTGAAACCCGCGGGCGGGGCGGGGCGCGGAGCGCAGCACGGTGCAGGAGAAGGAGGCGTTGAAGAGCAGCGGCGCCGTGAGGAGAATGTGCCTCTGCACCTCCAGGATCACGCTGGTGGTGGGCGGGTACTGCAGGCGCCGGGCCATGTCGTTCTCTGAGGTGACTGGGATGATGACGGCTGTGGTGAGCGGTGTGCATGGTAGCCCGCTCGATGGCGGCTGCCCTGTAGTGGTGGTTGGGGGTGGGGGGGTGTGGAATGTGGGATGACATGGCAATCACAACTCTCATCACACCACACGACATAAGATATGACGTCACACCATATCACTGCCCCCCACAGCAACCCACACGCCCCCCACAGCAACCCACACGCCCCCCACAGCAACCCACACGCCCCCCACAGCAACCCACACACCCCCCACAGCAACCCACACGCCCCCCACAGCAACCCACACGCCCCCCACAGCAACCCACACGCCCCCCACAGCAACCCACACACCCCCCACAGCAACCCACACGCCCCCCACAGCGTCACACGCATTCACCCGCACCCAAGCCTCGCCTCGCCTCGCCTCACCGCCCACGCGCCTTCCATCCCCGCTCCTCCACCCTTCCCCACACTTCACTCACAATCCCCCTCCCCTTCCCTCCCCCCCTTGTCCCCCTGTTCCCCTCCCCCCGCGCCACTCACTGATGGCCTGGGGGCTGACGCGCGGCTCAGCGAACGGCCACGCGCCACTGCCCGCGCCCCTCCCGCCGTCGACCGTCATCCCCGCCTCCTGCGCGCTGGCGGGCCAATCAGGTTCGTACACCTGCGCCAGCGGCCTGTTATTGGCCCACGACACATCCACCCACGGGCGCTTCTTGCCCGTCCGCCCGCGCCCGCGCATCTGGTTGCCCCACGCGCTGCTGCGCGCCTTCGCCGCGGCCATGGCGGCCTGCGCCCGCTCGTAAGCGCTGGCGCCCGCTCTCCCTCCGCCGCCACCTATGCCGCCTAAAGCCACGCTCCTGCTGCCGCCGCCGCCGCCGCCGCCGCCACTGCTGCTGCTGCCGCTGCTGCTGGTGAGGACGATCGCTTCATCGCCGCTGCTCGCACTGCTCGCGGCCGACACAGCGCCGTTCTCCTCTCCGCCTCCTCCGCCCCCTCCAACACCCCCTCCCCCCTGGCCTTGTGCGCGCTTGAGGTGGTTGCGCAGAAAGGGCGGGAGGCGGCGCACATGGTAGTGGTAGCGGTAGAAGCTGTTGGGGGTGGCGCCTGGGGTCGCTGGCAGGTCGCGGGGAAAACGGGGGAAACGGGTCAAGGGGCGCAGGGAAAGGGGCGAAAGGGTGGGTGGGTTGGGTAGAAACGGGGTTAAAGAGGCCCGCGCGGAATTTAAGCGGTGGCGGAACGAGAGGGGCAGGAGAGGAGGGGGAAAGGGAGTCAAGCAGGGCGGGAGGGGGGCGCCATGGAGCGCGGTGCGCGCAACGGCAGAAGTGGGGAAGGCACACGTGGGGAAGGCGCATACGCGAAAGGCGCATATGGGGAATGCGGTTGTGGAAAAGGCGCATGCTGGAATGGCGCATCTGGAAAGGTGCATGAGCGAAAGGCGCATATGGAAGGCGTATGTGGGAAAGGCGTATACGGAAAAGGCGTATAAGGGGAAGGCGTATACGGGGAACGCGTAAACGGGGAAGGCGTATACGGGGAAGGCGAAAACGGGGAAGGCGTATACGGGGAAGGCGTATATCGAGAAGGTGCATGCGCGTTGATTGAACTCAAAGTGCCGCCAGATGACCCTTTTTGAAGTCGACACGAGCATTCAACGATCTTCACGCACCTGGCGCAGCAGCAACCGCGGGCAGCACCGCGAGGGTGCGATGTAGCTCGAGCGAGAGCAGCACGCCGACAAGCAGCAGCGCTACGCCCCGCCACGCCGACCCCGAGCACGGCAGCCGACCACGAGCCATAGGGGGGACGAGGATCGACAACGGCCGGGTGAATCGTCTAGGGACGGTTGGACGCGCAATTGTGAATTCAACCAGCAGTGCAGAAGATTGCACACGATTAAGTTGCCGCCCCAGCGAGCCGCGGAGCTGACGTTAGCGCCTCGAGACTGACAGCGATGCAACGCGACGCGAGGTGACGCTGCGGGGATGCTGAGAACGTATCTGACAAGCGAGTCGCGCGTGATCTGTGGCGAATCTACGTGGACGAGTCTAACGACGGGGAGCGTTCGAAGCTCGGCAGGACGCTGGTGGTCGCGCTGCGATCCGAGCGCTACTATGGTGTACTCTACTTTCAGTTTCGCGACCGCTTGTAACGATAACGAGATTCTCCTTGTAGTCTCTTGGGTACGGATTTGGGAGGTCCTGCAGACGCGGAAAACAACAAAATTAGGTCGCGCGTCGAAATTATACTGTACTCGAGAATTTACCGGGCGAGCAGATGGAAAGGAACGACGAGTGGTTCAAGATGCAGAGGGCACCGCGCGACGGCGCGAGCTGGAAAGGAACGATCTACGAGGGAGAACGGCCTTCGATTGCGCCGCTGCGCGCTTGGGCTTGCGATGAGTTGGGAGCAGGTTAGGTTCCGTCGGCGCCTTGGGTGGCGACTGGTGAAGGTAGTGTTGTGAATGGGCACGCTCTTCACGTGGCACGCTACTGTACACTCCAACCCCTTCCCCTCAAAACACCCTCGTCACTTTTTCCTCAAAATCCATCCAAACCACCCAACTCCTCCAAAGCCTATTCCAACCACTCAAGTTACAAACCTCATTTTCCAACTCTTATCCAACTCAAGCCTATCAACCACCCCTTTAATCACTCCCAACCACCATAGCCTTCTCCAATCCAACTCAACCAAGACTCCAACAACTTTTCCTATTCACCTCCAAGCCCCACCATAAGGCACATGACTCCTCATAATTTTCCATGTGCTCTCCCTTCCTACTCATCAAAGATTACCCAAGTCATCTACTTCCTCCAATTATCCTCCTCCCATGTGCCTTCAAGCACATGCCTCCATTTCCTAGTCATCAACTTCCACATGCCTCTTATTTATTCCTTCCTTCATTCCTTTCCCAAGTCACCAAAGTTGCCACCTCATCACCAAGGACCTTATGATTACTACCTCACCTCCCATACCAAGTCATCAAAGCTATCCTATCTCCTCCACTCATCCCTTCACAAGTCACCAAGTCCTCTTCCAACACTACAAGGCCTACAACTCCAACTCAACAAGTGCTCAACCACCACCACATGCTCTACTACTATTCAACTCCAACAAGCATCTCTACAATTTCTCAAGAAAGTTCTTCAATGACAACAATGCTACTCGAGCTTCTTCATCAAGCTCATCTTCAACTACAAAGGCTCCTTACTAGCAACCAAGTTCAATGTCTCCAAAGTTGATACTCTCATGCAACTCTCTTCCAAGGCTACCATTTGATAGTTACTATTTCTATGCATGCCTATGTATCCCTCATGGATCTATAAGGCTTGTACTATACATTTCTTAATATAAGTTTATGCTCACAAAGTTCTCTCTCACTTAGTCTACAAAGTAGTCACCAAGTTAAGAGTAGTCTACCTCATACTCCCTAAGAGTATAAGGAAGCTACAAGCTACAAGCTCAAGGGAGGATCATCATCCAACACAAGGCTTCGAGTCACTCCCAAGTAAAGCATACAAGCTCAAGTTCTTCCCCCAAGTTACTTCTACAACTATCCTTAGTAAGATTCACTCAAGTAAGTGTTCACCACCTCTCTCATTCTCTCAATAAGCTCACACTCATCTTCTCTTATAAGTTCTTATCTCATCAAGCAATCCATCTTACACAAGTTTCTCATTATAGTCACAAGTTCTAAGTATCATCTTCTCTTCTATCAAGCTCATCCACACATGCTACAGTTCCACTGTTCACTCTTGTCTTATTCTAGTGTGCAATTATTCCTTTTTGTCTTTATCTCAATTCTCTACTGGTATCAGAGCTACTTAACTCCTCGCTCCCGCTAGTGTCCTTAAGACAAAGTGCTCCATCCCCTTTCTCCATGACTCCCACTCCCAAGGGTCCTAAGTCAAAGAGTGCCACTTCGCAAGGAGAATCAAACTCCTCTGAAGTAAGCGGCACAAACACCGGCGAAACATCAACTACCCCTTCTCTTCCCCCACCTATATACACCCAAATGTCTACTACCTCATCTTTAACCCCCAAGCTAGAAGTGCCACGGTTCAATGGAAAAGACTTCCAAGCGTGGCGAATTCGTTTCCAATTGGCCTCCACTCTCCTAGAGTGGTGGCCCGTTTATTCCGGTTCTCTCTCTCCTCCTTCCTCCGAAGCCCCTCCCACAGAGCAAACCGCATGGGTCAAGAAGAATGCCGAAGCTTACCTCTACCTCCTCAACTCCGTCCAAGACCAATATGCCAAGTCATTGCTCACGTGCGCGAGCCATCCCGACAGTGCGAAGCACGCTTGGGAGAGACTCACAAGGCTTCATCAACCTCGCACCGAGAGCACCAAGGCGGAAATGTGGGGCAAGATCTCCAACTTGCGGATGGAACAAAAGGAGACAATACCCGAGTACTTGGAGCGCGCGGAGATCTTGCTTAACGATGCCGACGTCATCGATGTCAATGTTCCCGAGGAGCTCTTCATCACCATTCTCCTCGCGGGGCTTTCATCGGAATGGATACAAATGCGGAGCACGATTCAAGCGTTTCCCGAGAAGCAAAAAACGCGCGACTTCATCTTCAACACCCTCATCAACGAGCATCAAACGCGCGAGCTTGCCAAGGCAAAGGAGGAGAACAACAAACCCGCATGGTCGGCCGCCGTCTCTACTCAAGGTCACGGCAACAACAACAACAGCTACAACAACAACAACAAAGGCAAGAACCAACGACAAGCAAGTAAGCCTTCCAACCCATCTATCCTTGGTCGCTTCCCTCCATCAAATTCTACGCCCAATCAACACTTCTCATCTAATCCCTCTCAACCCGCTAAGCCCCAATCGGGGAAGTTCAATTTCACTTGTCATTTTTGTCATCAATGGGGACATCCATGGTTCAAGTGCCCTCGTAAACCCCCCAATTGGACCCCTCCTCCTCATCTTCTTACCGCCAAGGGCCGAGCCGCCCTATCATATGCAGTAAGCTCTCAAAATGAGCCCCAACAATCTCCCTTACCTCAATCTCAGTCATCCCAATTCTACCCAAGTCAACCTTATCCATTACCCTATTACCCCATGCAACTAATGCCTATGTTTTACCCTTCTCCACCACAAGGCTTTACGCCTTCGTTTCTTCAAGTACCCCACGTCTCTCCCTCCAACTCTACACCCACTTCTTCTTCCCAAAGCACCCCACAGGGCATAAGTTTTGCCATGAGTTCATCCGCGCCCACATCAACGTTCGACCCCAACTTTTGGTACCTCGACAGTGGGTGCGACCAACACATGACTCCCAACTCTTCCCTTCTACATTCCCTCACCACCACAGGTGTCAAGAGCGTTACCGTTGCAAACAAGGAGTCAACTCCCACCGCGGGAGAAGGAACTCTCACCTTTCTCAACCCCACCGGCAAGCCGATTTCCATCTCAGGTGTCCTCCTCGTTCCCAACCTTGGAGCCAACCTATTGTCGGTTGGACAACTCGAGGAGAAAAACTGCACCTTTTCTTTCGAAAGTGGTACTGTGCAGATACGCTACCAGGGAGTCCTCATTGCACGTGGCGAGCGAGTTGGTCGCCTCTACCGCCTCAAGCTCGACGTGAACCCGGAGTATCGTCGACTCCACGGCTACACCGCCGCTGCATCAACTACTATCAAGCCTCACCCAGGTACGGCTACCACACCTTACATTTGGCATTGTCGCTTGGGTCACCCTGGAGCATCAACCACAAAGTCCATCACCGCACATGCAAGTCTTGAAGGTCTTCGCATCACACCAAGTCCCGTGTCTTCCTCTTCACCTTCTCCATGCCCTTCATGCGTCGAAGCCAAGCACGCACACCATCCTCATCCCCCAGTCAATGTTCAAGTCTCAAGTCCTCTTGACCTTGTTCATAGTGACATCATTGGTCCTACTCGCACACTCAGTCGCACGGGCAAGCGATACATCATGACCCTCATTGATCATAAGACACGCTTCGCATGGGTTTTCCTTCTTGAGTCCAAAGACCTTGTTCCCGAAGCATTCAAAGTGTGGAACGAGCACATCAAGAACACAACCGGTCTTCAAGTCAAGACTCTACACTCGGACAGAGGGGGAGAATACATGAGTAAGTCCTTCCGAAACCACCTATCATCCATTGGCATTGCCCAAGAGTTCTCGTGCCCCTACACCCCTCAGCAGAACGGCATCGCCGAAAGGTTCAACCGCACCTTGCAGGAAATTGCAAGATCTCTTCTCTTGCACATGAAGCTAGATGATACATGGTGGGGAGAAGCAGTGAACCAAGCCGTCCACCTCAAGAATCGTCGCCCAACCACAGCTCTTCCATCAGGTATCACCCCATTTGAAGCATGGCATGGAAAGAAGCCCGATGTTTCCATGTTGCGGGTGTTTGGGTGGATGGCGCAATATCGCATTCCCGATGAGAAGAGAGGAAAGTTTGAGAGCAAGACACGCTGGGGCATGCATCTTGGGGTGAGCAAAGAGAGCAAGGGTTGGATTCTCTGGGACCCTCTCCTATCCAAAGAGATTGTGAGCAGGGACGTGATCTTCCATGAAGACATGTCCCTTGCTCGATGGAAGTTATATTTCCTCCCTCCTTCTCCTTCTCCCCAAGATGCTCTCCCCACTCCAGCAGGACTCGTCTCAATACCCGTGGCGGATCCCTCTCCAAGTGCACCCGCTGGAGACACCACGGCACCTACACCTGTACCTGAGGCTACCACACGTCCCCATGAGTCGCAGCAGAGCCAACAAGAGGCGAAAGACGCATCTCACCCACTCTTTGCTGACGCGCCGTCTTCACTTCAACCCGAGCAGCAGTCAACACCCGAGGAGCAGTCAACACCCGAGCAGCAGTTAACACCCGAACAGCAGTCGACACCAAAGGAGCCGTCTTCACCTCCTGTGACCACCTCAACCATCCTCCCAGTCGCAGCAGACGAGCCGCCTCAACCCGTTCAACCACCGAATGATGTTCTTGAGACAACCACGCTTTCAGCACCTCCAACCATCTCGGATGGTAACACGAGTCACGAAGGTATCACCGAGCACGCACAGCGTCCCAGGCGAGCACGCAAGCCAGTGCAGCGCTTGAACCTTGCCGTCGGTGCATGCTTTCCAGTCACAGTCAAGTGCACCAACCCTCACTGTATGGACTGCAAGGTAGTTGCCATGTATCACGCCATCAGTTGCCTCCCTCCTGAGCCATCCACTCGCAAGCAAGCACTGGCAAGCGCTGAGAGAGCAGAGTGGTTAAAGGCAGAGAGAGATGAGATTAACAGCCTCCTTGCACAAGGTACATGGGTCTTGGCACCACTTCCTCCTGGTAAGAGAGCACTGAAGGTTAAGTGGACATACCGAGTGAAAGTGAAGGGAGATGGTATCAGAGGTCCACTGGGGATCCCCGATGATCCTAGGGAAGGGTTACAGGCATGTCGGCTTGGGGGGTTATGGGCGCACTCACCCGCTACACAAAAAAGCCCTTTTATCCCAGTGGTTAGTGGCTGGGATTCTGACATGGTATCAGAGCGAAGGTCTCGGGTTCGATTCCCGGTGTGTGCACCTCGGGCATCCCAGTGCGGGGGGGTGTCAGAGGTCCACTGGGGATCCCCGATGATCCTAGGGAAGGGTTACAGGCATGTCGGCTTGGGGGGTTATGGGCGCACTCACCCGCTATACAAACAAGCCCTTTTATCCCAGTGGTTAGTGGCTGGGATTCTGACAGATGGTACACTTGACCGATTCAAGGCACGCCTTGTAGCCAAAGGTTTTTCACAGATGCCAGGCACGGACTACACAGAGACCTTCTCTGCTGTAGCCAAGTACACCACTGTCAGGTGCCTCTTGGTAATGGCCACAGTGAAGGATCTCCACATTCATCAAATGGATGTGAAGAATGCCTTTCTCTATGGTAAGCTCGACGAAGAGATCTACATGGTACAGCCCGAGGGTTACTCTGATGGTACCACCAAGGTCTGTAAGCTGCTGAAGTCCCTCTATGGACTAAAGCAAGCACCACGAGGCTGGTTCCACACCCTTGAGGTATCACTCCTCACTCAAGGTTTCACCAAGTCACAGTACGACGCCGCACTGTACATCCTGCGCACAAGTGAAGGGGAGTCTTTGTGGCTCCTTGTCTATGTGGACGACATCCTCCTTGTGTCAGCATCCTTGAGTCTCCTCACATGCATCAAAGGTATGCTCACCCAAGACTTCATCATGACGGACATGGGTGAGCCCTCACACTACCTTGGTATGAACATCGTGAGGGACCGCACCACCAAGTCACTTCTCATCTCACAGCAGAGGTACACTGAGAAGGTCCTCTCAAGGTTTGGTCTCCTTGACTGCAACCCAGTTGAGACCCCACTCCCCTCAGACTTCACGCTGAGCTCGCACGAGCAAAGCATTGACCCTTCCACCGTTGAGTCAGAGGTCACTGAGCTTGAGGGTGAGGTCGAGAGCCTTGAGCTTCCTGAGGACCTTGGTCATGACACCTATGCACCACAGTTCTCATCCCACATCACACCCCTTGAGCTCTCACTCTACCAGAGCCAAGTGGGCAGCCTTATGTACGCCTCCATTTGCACCCGTCCTGATCTAGCCCATACTGTCGCCATGCTCTCTCAATGCATGACATCACCCACTCGCATGCACCAGCGAGGGGCACTTCGTGCCTTGCGCTATCTCAAATCAACCTCTTCCTTTGGTCTCCTCTTTCAAGGGTTTGAGGGTGCAAGCATGCTATATGGCTTCACGGATGCAAATTGGGCTGGGGATATCACCACCCGCAGGTCCACTGGAGGATACATCTTCATGCTTGGAGGGGCGGCCATCTCTTGGCAGTCAAAGAAGCAGAGTTGTGTGGCTTTATCATCCACGGAGGCAGAGTACATGGCTGCGACCCAATGAGCCCGAGAAGCAGTGTGGATAAGAGGTCTTTTGAAGGAGCTTGACCTCTCACAAGAGAGCCCCACTCCCATCTTCATCGACAACACGTCGACGATCGCTCTCTCCAAGAACCCCGTCTTTCATGGGAGGACCAAGCACATCGCGACGCAGTATCACTACGTTCGAGAGCTTGTGGAGCAGAAAATCGTTGAGCCCCTGTTTTGCCGCACGAGTGAGCAAGCGGCGGATTTCCTCACCACGGTCGTTGCACGTGACATCTTCATCAACAACCGTATTCAAGCCGGGTTAGTCCCAACTGCTGGATTTGACGGTACGGGCCTGCAGTGAGGGGGAGTGTTGTGAATGGGCACGCTCTTCACGTGGCACGCTACTGTACACTCCAACCCCTTCCCCTCAAAACACCCTCGTCACTTTTTCCTCAGAATCCATCCAAACCACCCAACTCCTCCAAAGCCTATTCCAACCACTCAAGTTACAAACCTCATTTTCCAACTCTTATCCAACTCAAGCCTATCAACCACCCCTTTAATCACTCCCAACCACCATAGCCTTCTCCAATCCAACTCAACCAAGACTCCAACAACTTTTCCTATTCACCTCCAAGCCCCACCATAAGGCACATGACTCCTCATAATTTTCCATGTGCTCTCCCTTCCTACTCATCAAGGATTACCCAAGTCATCTACTTCCTCCAATTATCCTCCTCCCATGTGCCTTCAAGCACATGCCTCCATTTCCTAGTCATCAACTTCCACATGCCTCTTATTTATTCCTTCCTTCATTCCTTTCCCAAGTCACCAAAGTTGCCACCTCATCACCAAGGACCTTATGATTACTACCTCACCTCCCATACCAAGTCATCAAAGCTATCCTATCTCCTCCACTCATCCCTTCACAAGTCACCAAGTCCTCTTCCAACACTACAAGGCCTACAACTCCAACTCAACAAGTGCTCAACCACCACCACATGCTCTACTACTATTCAACTCCAACAAGCATCTCTACAATTTCTCAAGAAAGTTCTTCAATGACAACAATGCTACTCGAGCTTCTTCATCAAGCTCATCTTCAACTACAAAGGCTCCTTACTAGCAACCAAGTTCAATGTCTCCAAAGTTGATACTCTCATGCAACTCTCTTCCAAGGCTACCATTTGATAGTTACTATTTCTATGCATGCCTATGTATCCCTCATGGATCTATAAGGCTTGTACTATACATTTCTTAATATAAGTTTATGCTCACAAAGTTCTCTCTCACTTAGTCTACAAAGTAGTCACCAAGTTAAGAGTAGTCTACCTCATACTCCCTAAGAGTATAAGGAAGCTACAAGCTACAAGCTCAAGGGAGGATCATCATCCAACACAAGGCTTCGAGTCACTCCCAAGTAAAGCATACAAGCTCAAGTTCTTCCCCCAAGTTACTTCTACAACTATCCTTAGTAAGATTCACTCAAGTAAGTGTTCACCACCTCTCTCATTCTCTCAATAAGCTCACACTCATCTTCTCTTATATGTTCTTATCTCATCAAGCAATCCATCTTACACAAGTTTCTCATTATAGTCACAAGTTCTAAGTATCATCTTCTCTTCTATCAAGCTCATCCACACATGCTACAGTTCCACTGTTCACTCTTGTCTTATTCTAGTGTGCAATCATTCATTTTTGTCTTTATCTCAATTCTCTACAGGTAGATTGTGCTCCCAACCATGCATCCATCCATTGCACCATTCTTGCGATTGCAAGGGACAGCAGCAGCATGACGAGGCTTCGCCGCACGAGCCGCCCAGACCCAGACACCCGGGCTATGACCGTCACTACACTCCTCCCCTCTCTCTCCTACAGAGGCGACCAAGGGCGGTGGGGTGGGGGAGCCATGTTGTAAAGTACTACGCACAGATGCGTACGGCCTGCAAATCCTGCTTGCGGCTGTTGGCAACTGCGCTGGAGAAAGTGGGTGGGAGGCCATGTGGGGGAGTGAGGTGAGGAGGAGCAAGCAAGCCTAGAAAGGGCAGCACGGACCAAATTGGAGAGGGTAGTTTATTGGCCCGGTTCAGCACAACACAAAGCCCTCACATCGCTTTGCACCGTTTGAATGCGAATTACACCACTTCTTTTCCCTTCCAAAGGTCCAATAATTATAGCAGTATGGTTAGAGCGCTACTGTAGGCCAGCTGTAGAGCGGAGATGGGCTTGAGGGACGATCTTTCGAGACGATTTGCCAACTCTTCGTCGTTCCGAACCTTTCTTTCAGGGCAGGATTGGAGACGCCCGCATATTCAGCCGCTTCGACTGCCCGTTATTAGCATGCTACAGCGACCACTCTCAATGAAAACACGAAAGGAAAAGGAACAAAAAAAGGCATGTAAACCAACTTAAATTAAAGTATCTGTAGTACAGTTTCTATTGTCAGCTCCTTTACTACAATGCAACAGCTGTTGTTACTGAGCATCTTCCAACCCGAGTTTTCAATCATCATATAGAAGAACACCACTGTCAGATGGATGTACACACACATGATGACTCACTACCAGTATCTGAATGGTGTATGGCGGCAGTTTGCAAGGCATCCCACAAGCGACAGCATGTGACTCTGGAAGTCACACAAGCACCGCAACTCTCACGGCATGATTCAAGGAGTGCACTCGCTGAGCAGAAACTCCCTGTACAGGCACTCCCCGTGCACAGACGTGCCCTTGCCATTCATTCCACCCGCTCCATCACCTCCCTGCATGCCCCCTTTCACCGGGCCCCAGAACCCCCCCTTCCCTCTCCCCCTTCCCCATGCTCTGATACCGGCCTTGCGTGCAGCGGGACTGGACTGGGTCCCATGAGCCGCACCCATGGCGGCCAGGTCCACACACGACTGCACGCGCTGGCAGCTCAACATGCCCACTCCACCACCAGGTAGCCCTCTGCGCTCCTCCTCCTCATCACCCTCCGCTGCAGCAGCACCAGCAGCAGGCAGTGTGGCAGCACCACTGTTTGCTCCATCCCCCACTGCCCCTCGCCCCTGCTGCCACCCACCCAACTGGGGCGAGACACCCAGGGCCAGGGGGCTCTTTCCCCGGCCAACGGGTGACTGCCACGTCATCCTGGCACCGTCCGTACTGGCACGTGCATTGAGCCGGCGAGCCCACCCACCAGCGTTGTCGCTGTGAGTGACGGCGGATGGCGAGCGCGGAGACAGCGGCCCTCTCACGGCCAGTGGGGCTGCACTGCGGCCACCCATAGCGCCCACCACATCACCATCCGCACCGGGACTCGCCATGTCCTCCTCCTCGCCCCCCCCCTCCTCCCCACCCGTTCTCAGCAGCCCCAGGCGCCTGGCCATGCGGAAGCTTCCGCGCAGGCTGCCTCCAGGGCTGGGCGCGGCTGCTGCTGCGGGGCTGGGCGCCTCACTGGCGGGCATCATGCTGAAGAAGCGCCGTGAGCCGTGCTCGCTGCCCCCCGCCCCGCCCTCCTTCCCTGCCCCGCCACTCCCCAAGAGGCCAAAGAAGCGCCGTGAGCCATGCTGGCTGCTGCTGCCCTCCTGCTCATCGCCGTCCCTCGCCTTCATGACACTCAAGAACCGCCACGACCCGTGGAGACTGCCGCCGTGCACACTGCCCGCACTCTCTGCTTCCCTCTCCCCCTCGCCTGCCGTCTCCCCCTCGCCTGCCGTCTCCCCCTCGCCTGCCGTCTCCCCCTCGCCTGCCGTCTCCCCCTCGCCTGCCGTCTCCCCCTCGCCTGCCGTCTCCCCCTCGCCTGCCGTCTCCCCCTCGCCTGCCGTCTCCCCCTCGCCTGCCGTCTCCCCCTCGCCTGCCGTCTCCCCCTCGCCTGCCGTCTCCCCCTCGCCTGCCGTCTCCCCCTCGCCAGCCGTCTCCCCCTCGCCTGCTCTCTCCCCCTCGCCTGCTCTCTCCCCCTCGCCTGCTCTCTCCCCCTCGCCTGCCCTCACGACCCCAAAGAACCGCCGTGAGCCATGAAGGCTGCCGCCATGCACACTGCCGCCGCTCTCTCCTTCCTTCTCCCTCTCGGCACCCCTCATCAGCCCTAAGAACCGCCGCGAGCCACGATGGCTTCTCCCAGCCTCCACGCCCTTGCCACCGCCCTCTGGACTGATGGCCTTCCCCTTCTCCTCCCTCCTCCCTCCTCTGCCTGCACCACCCCGTGCAGCAGCAGCAGCATGAATGGCGGATGGGTGGTGAGGGGGGTGGGGGTGGAGGTGGTCGTCGGGGTGGTGGTGCAGGCGGTGCATGTCATGGTGGCGCGTGACGAGAGCAGAGAAGTCAAGCAGGTCGAACAGAGGCAAGGGGGGGATGGCAAGAGATGACGACGTGGGAGGCAGGGCCGGGGGTGGTGGGTGGGTGAGAGAGGTGGTTGCTGCTCCCTGCTGCTGCTCGTGGCGCTGCTTCTCCAGCGCAGCAGCGATCCCTGACCCACCTCGCACACACCCCTCCCTCTCCACTCGCGTCATCGCATGCCCGCCCACCACACTCTGCTGCCGCGCCATGCCCTGCTCACCCATCACGCTGCTCTGCACGCCCATCAGCTGCAGCGACAGCCGCTGGTGGCCCAGGGCGTCTAGGCTCGCTAGCAGTGCCTGCAGACACAGCATGGCCGAAGGCGGGTACTGCTGCTTCTCACCCCTCTGCTCCTCACCCATGTCTCCTGTTTCGCTCACTGCCTCCAGTGACGTGCCCAGTGCTGACGTGGCGCTCGCCAGGTGGTGCACGAGCTGGCGGAACTCTGACTCGCTGAGCTCCAGCGACAGCAGGGCAACGCACGCGCGCTGAAGCTTCCTGGTAGCTGCGTACAGGCGGAAGCCACGCAGCGACCCCTCCAGCTGCACGCCTCCCCTCACTCGCCCCTCTGCTGCCGCGCCCGCCCCTCCCTGCACCGGCCCCTTCTGTAACGCCCCCTCTTCCTCTTGCCCCACCCGTCCCGCCGCCACCTCCCCTTCCCTCTCCCCTCTCTCCCCATCCTCCTCTCCTGCCTTCCCTGTCCCCTCCTCCCGCATCTCTGCTGCAGCCCCCGTTGCTCTCTCCCCCACACTCTCCTGCCCTGCGCCTGCCAGGAGCGCTGCACCAGGGTGTGTGGGCCGAGAGTGAGGACTCCCAGGCACCGCCACAGCGGGCTGTGCCGACTGCCCTGCAGCATCCCCTGCAACGGCCACGGCGCCGGCACCACTCTCCGCAGCACCCGGTGCAGCGGCAGCCAGCCACGGGTGCAGCAGTGCCTGTGCGGCGGTGGGGCGCTGGCAGGGGTGGGGCTCCAATAGGGCACGCAGGAACGAGTGCACTGCTGGCGAGGCTTCCGGGGGTAATGCTGGGACTATCCCTTTCTGTTGAAGGGTGGTAGGAAAACAAGGAGGGGGTGGGTAAGCTTTAAGGTGCTAGTTGCACGCGTGAAGGTGCGGTGAAGAGTGAAGGAGCTTGTTTGCGTCAACATTCCCAGGGAACAAAAGCAACGAGACGGAGGCAATGAGCAAGCGCAGTGCTTGTGACGCTTTATGGCCTCAATTGCTGCTGAGAGCCGACAGGCAGCCCCAGCATTCTCCAATACACATCCACATACATATACACATCCACATACATATACACATCCACATACATATACACATCCACATACATATACACATCCACATACATATACACATCCACATACATATACACATCCACATACATATACACATCCACATACATATACACATCCACATACATATACACATCCACATACATATACACATCCACATACATATACACATCCACATACACATGCACATTCACATACACATGCACATTCACACTGCGTCTCTCTCCCCTGCACGCCCCTAATCTGCGCGCCTCCCGCATAGCCTGCCACGTGGCTCTGGAGGGCCACTGGGCCACGTGGCGTTGGAGTGCCACTGGGCCACGTGGCATTGGAGTGCCACTGGGCCACGTGGCATTGGAGTGCCACTGGGCCACGTGGTATTGGAGTGCCACTGGGCCACCTGGCATTGGATGGCACAAGTGAGTCCGCTGGGCGGGGGCCCTGTGAGCAGCACAGCAACACGGCGCCTGCAGGCCTTGTGCATGGCGCCACACGTCACGAGCCCATCCACTCCCTCACATGGTAAGCCTCTCACTGCCCCGACCTCCCCTGCACGCCCCTTACCTGCATGGCCTGCCACGTGGCATTTGAGGCCACAGTGGCGCGAGTGAGACCACTGGGGGGCGGGCCTGTGAGCAGCACGGCCACCACGGCCCCCGCACTCCACACGTCTGCCTGGGGGCCGTAGGCATGGCGCCACACCTCAGGCGCCGCGTAGAACGCCGTGCCCATGAAGTCCCGCAGCACCACGCCCTTTCCCTCCCGCACTGCCTCCTCCCTGCTGCTGCCGCTCGTGGTGGTGGTGGCGGTGGGCGGGGGGTGGAAGAGTGCAGCGCTGCCGAAGTCCACGAGCTTGATGGTGAGCGCGTGCGCGTCCGACAGCAGTATGTTCTCCGGCTTCTGACAGGCGAAGGGGGGGTGGAGAGGAAGGGAGCTCAGGGTAGGGAACGTGCAATGAGGGTAGGTGGTGTGAGCAGCAGTGGGGAGGGGCAGAAGCGTGGGGCTGACACGCCAGTGCGATTGCATGACTGCCCCACATCCCCCTCCACCCCGCCATAGGCACATGGCCCACCGCACATGGCCCAGCGCACATGGCCCAGCGCACATGGCCCAGCGCACATGGCCCAGCGCACATGGCCCAGCGCACATGGCCCAGCGCACATGGCCCAGCGCACATGGCCCAGCGCAGCAGCACTTTCCTCCACCCCTGGTGTCCACTTGAAGCTGTCATCCACTCAATCCATCACCCGTCATTTTAGCACCCCAGCAAGCAAGCGACCCCCACCCCAGATGTCCAGGTGCGTGTCAGCGCCCACTCGCCCCACTCCCTCATGCATGGCAGTGAAGCCCATGCATGGCAGTGAAGCCCATGCATGGCAGTGAAGCCCATGCATGGCAGTGAAGCCCATGGCCGCCCAGCCAGCACGCCCCCCTGCAAGGCGCTCACGAGGTCGCGGTGGGTGACGCCCCGCGCATGGCACAGCGCCACCGCCTGCAGCAGCTGCCGCGCTGATGGCGGGGGGAGGGGTGGGGAAGGGGACAAAGGGGCATGAGGCGGGTGAGGGTTATGGGAGCGTACGGCGGCACGGGGGAGGTGAGGGAGGATGGGGGAGGGGAAAAAGGGAATGGATGAAGGACGAACACGCAAGTTCAATGAGAGAGTGGCTGTGCATCAATCGCCCCCACGCACCAATGTGCATGGCATGCTCCCATGTGCTTCCCCCACGCACCAATGTGAACAGCATCAGCCTCGGTGAAGGAGGCGCGCGCAGCGAGCGCCATGAAGAGGTCTCCGCCCTGGGCCTTGTCCGTCACGATGTGCAGGTGGCGGCTGTCCTCGTGCGTGGCCAGCAGGCAGATGATGGGCGGTGACACCGGTGCTGGTGCCGCCCATAGCTGCATGGGGGGGCGACGAGTTGGGCAGCACAAGGGAGGAAGATGGGTGTGTGTGGGGGGGGAGAGGTGTGAGAGGGAAGGATGAGGGAGGAGATGAGCGGCAGGTGAGGGGGCGTGAAATTGCATGGCAGTGGGGGGGAAGGTGGTTGTTGTTGAGAGGCGAGCGGCACTTGTGAGGGGGGCAGTGAGTGGCGCAGCACGACAGCACAGCAAGGCGGTGGACGAACGGCATCGTGGATGGGCGCAGCACGAGGCGCAGAGAGGGATGAGCTGAGATGAGATGAGGTGAGGGTGGGCGGAGGCTCACCCGCTGCAGGGCCTCGATCTCGATGGTCTGACGGGCGTGATGGCATCATGCAGGTGCGGCACGGGTGAGGCGCGCGTATGAGGGGGAGGAAGGGAGCAGGAGAAAAGGAGAAGAAGAAGCAGGGAGAAAAGGAAGAAGCAGGGAGAAAAGGGAGATATGGAAGAAGCAGGGAGATATGGACGAAGCAGGGAGATATGGAAGAAGCAGGGAGATATGGACGAAGCAGGGAGATATGGAAGAAGCAGGGAGATATGGAAGAAGCAGGGAGATATGGACGAAGCAGGGAGATATGGAAGAAGCAGGGAGATATGGAAGAAGCAGGGAGATATGGAAGAAGCAGGGAGATATGGACGAAGCAGGGAGATATGGAAGAAGCAGGGAGATATGGAAGAAGCAGGGAGATATGGACGAAGCAGGGAGATATGGAAGAAGCAGGGAGATATGGAAGAAGCAGGGAGATATGGAAGAAGCAGGGAGATATGGAAGAAGCAGGGAGATATGGACGAAGCAGGGAGATATGGAAGAAGCAGGGAGATATGGAAGAAGCAGGGAGATATGGAAGAAGCAGGGAGATATGGAAGAAGCAGGGAGATATGGAAGAAGCAGGGAGATATGGAAGAAGCAGGGAGATATGGACGAAGCAGGGAGATATGGAAGAAGCAGGGAGATATGGAAGAAGCAGGGAGATATGGACGAAGCAGGGAGAAAAGGAAGAAGCAGGGAGATATGGAAGAAGCAGGGAGATATGGAAGAAGCAGGGAGATATGGACGAAGCAGGGAGATATGGAAGAAGCAGGGAGATATGGAAGAAGCAGGGAGATATGGAAGAAGCAGGGAGATATGGAAGAAGCAGGGAGATATGGACGAAGCAGGGAGATATGGAAGAAGCAGGGAGATATGGAAGAAGCAGGGAGATATGGAAGAAGCAGGGAGATATGGAAGAAGCAGGGAGATATGGAAGAAGCAGGGAGATATGGAAGAAGCAGGGAGATATGGACGAAGCAGGGAGATATGGAAGAAGCAGGGAGATATGGAAGAAGCAGGGAGATATGGAAGAAGCAGGGAGATATGGACGAAGCAGGGAGATATGGAAGAAGCAGGGAGATATGGAAGAAGCAGGGAGATATGGACGAAGCAGGGAGATATGGAAGAAGCAGGGAGATATGGAAGAAGCAGGGAGATATGGAAGAAGCAGGGAGATATGGAAGAAGCAGGGAGATATGGAAGAAGCAGGGAGATATGGAAGAAGCAGGGAGATATGGACGAAGCAGGGAGATATGGAAGAAGCAGGGAGATATGGAAGAAGCAGGGAGATATGGAAGAAGCAGGGAGATATGGAAGAAGCAGGGAGATATGGAAGAAGCAGGGAGATATGGACGAAGCAGGGAGATATGGAAGAAGCAGGGAGATATGGACGAAGCAGGGAGATATGGAAGAAGCAGGGAGATATGGAAGAAGCAGGGAGATATGGAAGAAGCAGGGAGATATGGAAGAAGCAGGGAGATATGGACGAAGCAGGGAGATATGGAAGAAGCAGGGAGATATGGAAGAAGCAGGGAGATATGGACGAAGCAGGGAGATATGGAAGAAGCAGGGAGATATGGAAGAAGCAGGGAGATATGGAAGAAGCAGGGAGATATGGAAGAAGCAGGGAGATATGGAAGAAGCAGGGAGATATGGACGAAGCAGGGAGATATGGAAGAAGCAGGGAGATATGGAAGAAGCAGGGAGATATGGACGAAGCAGGGAGATATGGAAGAAGCAGGGAGATATGGAAGAAGCAGGGAGATATGGAAGAAGCAGGGAGATATGGAAGAAGCAGGGAGATGTAGGAAGAAGCAGGGAGATATGGAAGAAGCAGGGAGATATGGAAGAAGCAGGGAGATATGGAAGAAGCAGGGAGATATGGAAGAAGCAGGGAGATATGGAAGAAGCAGGGAGATATGGAAGAAGCAGGGAGATATGGAAGAAGCAGGGAGATATGGAAGAAGCAGGGAGATATGGAAGAAGCAGGGAGATATGGAAGAAGCAGGGAGATATGGACGAAGCAGGGAGATATGGAAGAAGCAGGGAGATATGGAAGAAGCAGGGAGATATGGAAGAAGCAGGGAGATATGGAAGAAGCAGGGAGATATGGAAGAAGCAGGGAGATATGGAAGAAGCAGGGAGATATGGACGAAGCAGGGAGATATGGACGAAGCAGGGAGATATGGAAGAAGCAGGGAGATATGGAAGAAGCAGGGAGATATGGAAGAAGCAGGGAGATATGGAAGAAGCAGGGAGATATGGAAGAAGCAGGGAGATATGGAAGAAGCAGGGAGATATGGAAGAAGCAGGGAGATATGGAAGAAGCAGGGAGATATGGAAGAAGCAGGGAGATATGGAAGAAGCAGGGAGATATGGAAGAAGCAGGGAGATATGGACGAAGCAGGGAGATATGGAAGAAGCAGGGAGATATGGAAGAAGCAGGGAGATATGGACGAAGCAGGGAGATATGGAAGAAGCAGGGAGATATGGAAGAAGCAGGGAGATATGGAAGAAGCAGGGAGATATGGAAGAAGCAGGGAGATATGGAAGAAGCAGGGAGATATGGAAGAAGCAGGGAGATATGGAAGAAGCAGGGAGATATGGAAGAAGCAGGGAGATATGGAAGAAGCAGGGAGATATGGACGAAGCAGGGAGATATGGAAGAAGCAGGGAGATATGGAAGAAGCAGGGAGATATGGAAGAAGCAGGGAGATATGGAAGAAGCAGGGAGATATGGAAGAAGCAGGGAGATATGGACGAAGCAGGGAGATATGGAAGAAGCAGGGAGATATGGAAGAAGCAGGGAGATATGGAAGAAGCAGGGAGATATGGAAGAAGCAGGGAGATATGGAAGAAGCAGGGAGATATGGAAGAAGCAGGGAGATATGGACGAAGCAGGGAGATATGGAAGAAGCAGGGAGATATGGACGAAGCAGGGAGATATGGAAGAAGCAGGGAGATATGGAAGAAGCAGGGAGATATGGACGAAGCAGGGAGATATGGAAGAAGCAGGGAGATATGGAAGAAGCAGGGAGATATGGACGAAGCAGGGAGATATGGAAGAAGCAGGGAGATATGGAAGAAGCAGGGAGATATGGAAGAAGCAGGGAGATATGGAAGAAGCAGGGAGATATGGACGAAGCAGGGAGATATGGAAGAAGCAGGGAGATATGGAAGAAGCAGGGAGATATGGAAGAAGCAGGGAGATATGGAAGAAGCAGGGAGATATGGAAGAAGCAGGGAGATATGGACGAAGCAGGGAGATATGGAAGAAGCAGGGAGATATGGACGAAGCAGGGAGATATGGAAGAAGCAGGGAGATATGGAAGAAGCAGGGAGATATGGAAGAAGCAGGGAGATATGGAAGAAGCAGGGAGATATGGAAGAAGCAGGGAGATATGGAAGAAGCAGGGAGATATGGAAGAAGCAGGGAGATATGGAAGAAGCAGGGAGATATGGAAGAAGCAGGGAGATATGGAAGAAGCAGGGAGATATGGACGAAGCAGGGAGATATGGAAGAAGCAGGGAGATATGGAAGAAGCAGGGAGATATGGAAGAAGCAGGGAGATATGGAAGAAGCAGGGAGATATGGAAGAAGCAGGGAGATATGGAAGAAGCAGGGAGATATGGACGAAGCAGGGAGATATGGAAGAAGCAGGGAGATATGGACGAAGCAGGGAGATATGGAAGAAGCAGGGAGATATGGAAGAAGCAGGGAGATATGGACGAAGCAGGGAGATATGGAAGAAGCAGGGAGATATGGAAGAAGCAGGGAGATATGGAAGAAGCAGGGAGATATGGAAGAAGCAGGGAGATATGGACGAAGCAGGGAGATATGGAAGAAGCAGGGAGATATGGAAGAAGCAGGGAGATATGGACGAAGCAGGGAGATATGGAAGAAGCAGGGAGATATGGAAGAAGCAGGGAGATATGGAAGAAGCAGGGAGATATGGAAGAAGCAGGGAGATATGGAAGAAGCAGGGAGATATGGAAGAAGCAGGGAGATATGGAAGAAGCAGGGAGATATGGAAGAAGCAGGGAGATATGGAAGAAGCAGGGAGATATGGACGAAGCAGGGAGATATGGAAGAAGCAGGGAGATATGGAAGAAGCAGGGAGATATGGACGAAGCAGGGAGATATGGAAGAAGCAGGGAGATATGGAAGAAGCAGGGAGATATGGAAGAAGCAGGGAGATATGGAAGAAGCAGGGAGATATGGAAGAAGCAGGGAGATATGGAAGAAGCAGGGAGATATGGAAGAAGCAGGGAGATATGGACGAAGCAGGGAGATATGGAAGAAGCAGGGAGATATGGAAGAAGCAGGGAGATATGGAAGAAGCAGGGAGATATGGAAGAAGCAGGGAGATATGGAAGAAGCAGGGAGATATGGAAGAAGCAGGGAGATATGGACGAAGCAGGGAGATATGGAAGAAGCAGGGAGATATGGACGAAGCAGGGAGATATGGAAGAAGCAGGGAGATATGGAAGAAGCAGGGAGATATGGAAGAAGCAGGGAGATATGGAAGAAGCAGGGAGATATGGAAGAAGCAGGGAGATATGGAAGAAGCAGGGAGATATGGAAGAAGCAGGGAGATATGGAAGAAGCAGGGAGATATGGAAGAAGCAGGGAGATATGGAAGAAGCAGGGAGATATGGAAGAAGCAGGGAGATATGGAAGAAGCAGGGAGATATGGAAGAAGCAGGGAGATATGGAAGAAGCAGGGAGATATGGAAGAAGCAGGGAGATATGGAAGAAGCAGGGAGATATGGAAGAAGCAGGGAGATATGGAAG